TAACGGATTGTTTGCAAGGCTGCTCCAACCTTCTCCTTCCCAGCCTGGGTCAGGCCTGCTCACTGCATGTGCCCTGTTCCTTAAGGCCTGGTCCAGACTGGATGTATCCCTGGGTGCGGCTGGAGTAAGCAGGGGAGGAAAGCTCAGAAAATGATGACTCAGAGCAATATGTAGGGTCTGTTAGTTTAGGATTGAGTACCAAGAAATCTAGTCAGCTAAGGTGAGGTGGAATTTTATCAAGAAGGATGTTTAGGGCCTTGGCATTCATTTATCAGGGATGGGACCCAGGCATTAGAAAGTCCTTTGTCAGACATGATATAATGACATTTGATTTTGCTTCTTCTCCTCTAACTTCTCTCCCCATCACTTTTCCTTTTTTTTCATTTTTTTCCCCCTCCTCTCGGTCCTTATTTCTACCTGCTTCTCCTTTTGCTCTTCTTCCTCCCCAATTTTATTCTCTTCTTCCTCTTTCTTCTCCAACCTATCCTCCACTCCCTATTCTTGCTTCCTCGCTCATCCTGTCCTCATGACCACCTTCCTTCTGTTTCTCATTCTTCTCTCTTCCCCACTTACCTATTCATACTGTTTTATTTCTCTTGCCCCTCTCTCCATCCCATCCTTGCCTTCACGTATTGTCCCTCTCTCTTCAACTTTCCTCCTATCTACCTACCCTATATGTGTCCCTTCCTTCCTTTCTGACTTCTTTCGCAGGGATTTGACCCATTCCGATTCGGAGTCCTCCCTCCACATGAGTGACCGCCAGCGTATGGCCCCCAAGCCTCCTCAGATGGTCCGTGCAGCAGATGAGGCTCTCAATGCCATGACTTCCAATGGCAGCCACCGGCTGACTGAGGGGGTCCATCCGGGGCCTCTGGTGGAGAAACTGCCTGACAGCCCTGCTCAGGCCAAGAAGGCTCTACTGGCGCTGAACCATGGGCTGGACAAGGCCCACAGCCTGATGGAGCTGGGCCCTTCAGCCCCACCTAGTGGTTCTCCACCTTTGGATTCTTCCCGTTCTCACAGCCCCTGTTCCCTAGACCCAGACACATCAGTTGGGGACAGCCGAGCCCTGCAGGCTGGCCGAAATACACGCATTCCCCACCTGGCTGGCAAGAAGGCAGTGGCTGAGGAGGATAATGGCTCCATTGGTGAGGAGACAGACTCCAGCCCGGGCCGGAAGAAGTTTCCCCTCAAAATCTTTAAGAAGCCTCATAAGAAGTAGGCAGGATGAGGGTGGCAGTGGTGGGACAGCTTGTCCTTTCCTGGCCTTCTGCCTGCCCTTCTCTCCCTTCCAAGATACCTGGCCCCTTGAGTGGGGCATGGGAGGGGGTGGCCCAGGGGCCTGGGCACTGTACATACCTGCCCCCTCATCTTTGGGTCCTTCAACATTATTTATTAACTGACCACGATGGCCTGCCTGCCCTGCCTCCCTCCCAACCATGGGCTGCTGTTGTCACTCCTTTTCCACTTCAGTGCATGTCTTAGTTGCTGTGCCCTCAGTACCCAGCTCCTCCTCTGGGTCCAGCTTCTGTCTCTGCTGTCCCAGTTTTGAGGTTTGGTTTGTCGTTTCTTTCTGTTTCCTGCTTTCAGGCTTCTCCCTCCCACCACTCTCCAACTTCCCCTAGAACCTGAGGGGGAAGATAGGAGTAACTTTTGACACCTGTGCCTCAGATCTGTCCCTCCCCACCCACGATTTTTCTGTTTGTCTCAGCTTGGGGCTGAGGGCCTAATATTTGAGGCTTGTTCTTTGGGAGTGCGGGGGGCCAGAGGGAACCTTGGCCTGGAGTTTATTCAGACCTTAAGGGGTTCATGGGGGGAGTGAAACCAGTTCCCAGAGAACAAGCCACCAGAGAGTTCTGAAGAGAGACCAGGCTACGGGATAGAGTGGTAGAAACTTAGTTGGAGAATGAGTAGATACCAGAGCTGTGGGCTACAAGGCAGCGAACCACCTTTTCTCTCTTCTATCACCCACACCTGCCTCTCTCTCATCTCTGCTCCCTGACACTGCAGGAGGGTTTGTCTGTAAGAGGTGCTGCCCCAGTGTTCCCCAAGCACCAGTGCTCCTGGGGCTCCAGACAATCAGCTTTCCTGGCCACGGGAGCCACTACCATGATACAGGGCTCTAAAGGGCTCTAGAGCTGTTTGGGCAAGGATGTTGTCACATTTGAACCAAAACACAGTTTAAAATTGAAAAAAGAAATCTCACTTTCCCAAGTGCCTGCACCACATACTTTCCATGTCAGACCCCATTTTCCTGTTACTGCATAGCCTGGGCCAGAGGCTCAAAAGACACAGCTGGTTTAGGGACGGGGTAGCTAATGAAGAAGGTGTAGGTGAAGGCGGCTATGTGACCACTTCCCCCACCCTTCCTACCCTTTAGACAACTCTCTTCCTGACCTGTTTTTGCTATGGCTGTAAAGGTATTTTCCCTCTGCCCCTCTCCCTGCCATGCCTTTACCCTGGGATCCTATTTTTGGGTCTGGGGTAGGTGCACCTGGGGTTGGTCTTAGGAGGGTGCTAGGCTGCAGACTACCTTGCACCCCCTGGGCACCCTCACATGGGTTTTTCTGTGTTATTTCATAAGACTCTTTGAAGTCCAATAAAGCATGTAGGAGATTTTAACCTCTGTTGGCTTTGACTCTCGTTGTGTTCTTTGTGCTCTCTGTGGTGTAGCAGACAGAACAGACTATTCTCTGCCTAGGGGCAAGTGAAACTCTAATGTACACAGCTATCTGGGTAAGGTTACCAGATGAAAGACAAGATGCCCAGTTACATTTGAATTTCAGATAAACCATGAAAAACAATTTTTTTGAAGTGTAACTATGTCCCATGCAATACTTGGGAAACATTATTTTTACTTGCTAACCCAGGCAACCCTATCTCTAGGCCCTCTTGACCCTATCTATCCTATAGCTTCACCAACGACTTAGAATTCGCAACACACTTGGCATGCATCTGGAGGACAGTTTTAGGGAGGATGCTGCAAGAAATTTCATAGAGCTCAAATCAGTTTTATATCAACCTTGTATATTAGTTCTCTCATCTTTACTTAAGGTCACCAAACCCCATCCATTCAACCTCTGTAACAGGGTGGTCCCCAGGAGAAGGGAAGGTTCCAGTTTCCCTGCTCCACCCATGGGAGGGTGGAGCTGAACAGGGAGAAGAAATTGGAGAGGAGACCGAAGAAGGAAGGAAGCAGGACAGGGAGCCAGAAGGAGACCTGAAGAAGGCACAAGGAGCAGAGAAACATGTGAAGAAGCTGTGCTTGTTTCTTGGCCCTGGACTGGTTAAAACAGATGTGGGTAAGAGACCCATGGGGATGTTAACAATGGTCTCTTTTATCTTGGTTTTGATTTTGCTCTTTTTCTTCCTAGACTTGTTTGACTTCTTCTGACCCTTTTCTATGGGTCCCTTGTATGGATGGTGGTTCAAACTTGTGGCAGGCTTTCTGGCCTTGATTTGGGCCAGTCCTGTTTGGCCGGACATGTACCCACAATGGGATGGGTAACTTTGGGTGCTTTTCTGTACACACTGATTGTATTAAACACTGATTGTATTACACACTGATTGTATTAAAGTTCCTTTTCATTAAAGGTCTTAAATGTTTTATCTTGATGTGGTGGATGGCAGAACTGTTATAGAGCAACCCTGATATAAAACAGGTTGCCTGTGGGCCCTCACCCACGCTTAAAGGGGACTTACTAATCCTAAACTGCAGACATATACAAAAGGTTGATCAAAGGTTTATTTACAAGGGAAGGGGAAAATGGGAAAATGAATAACTCAGGGAGAAAAAGAGGGAGATAAGTTCGTACATGCATCCTATGCTGACCTGGAATCCCAATGACCCGTGGAGCTGGCAAAAAACCTAGCTCATGGAGTGGCCAAGAGGCCCATCTCCTCCCCCACACCCCCCCAGTTAAATACTCAAACGGAGAACCCAGTTGCTTAACTCTGCCCTCAGGTCCTGGCAACCTTCCCTTTGGTGGCAACCTTCCCTTTGGTGATCATGGAATTTGTAGTTCCCAGTGTTGTGGGGGGTGGAGTCCACAAAGCCTGTATGGAGTTAGCAAGGGACATCCTTTCCCCCTAACAGAACCAATTTAAAGCAGGCAGTTTGGCGGGTTCTGGGGTGCCCCTCCCCCTGCCTGTAACACCTCCAGGCTCTGTTGCTGGCCGGCTCTGCCACTGGCTAATTCTAAAAGCAAATAGATCAGGGTCTTGCCCTACGCCAAACGCCCAGAGCTCTATTTTGGTCAGCATATAAGGTGGCAGGTCTAGCTGAAAGTCCGTCTCCTAACCCCATTGAATAGTAGGCTCTCTGCAGCTCCTGGCTGCTCTTGGCCCTGGTCCTGATGGCAGTCTCGGGTTATCGAAATGTAACAATCGTCAAAAGAATAAAAAGTGTTTTGGGGCCTCCCTGGTGGCGCAAGGGGTTGAGCACTGCACTGTGAGGCAATCCACACCTTCTGCAGCACAAGTTCGATCCCCAGCCGGCCAGGGAGCTACCCACATGGCGCCGCAGACCTCTCCTGTCTTGCCTGATGCTCCCCTCAGCAGTGTATTTCAGTACATCTGCCTGTTCTGCTCCCCACTCTGTCTCTGGTGAGTCCTCTCACCTCCCACCCCCGCCCCCGCATCTCTGGCCTGTACCCCAGCTCTTGTATGCATAAATAAATAAAATCTTAAAAAAAAGAATAAAAAGTGTTTTGGATGGTTGTTGATATTTTAAAAAATACACGAATCAGGTCAACTCGAGCGGGGGGGGGGGCGGGGTGGGGGCGGGGTGGGGGCGGGCTCAGCGAGCCCCGAGAGCTCCCGGCCCCCCCTCAGCTCGCCACATCCAACATGGCGAGGGAGCAGCGCCCGGGTCCACACAAACGTGCGTCGGCCCGGGCCTGCCCACACTCAACATGGCGGATGCAGCGACAGGGGTCCGCCGGCTGCGGTGGCGGCTTGGAGTGACGTCACTGGATCCGCCTTGCGCCGCCGGAGGGGGGCGGGAGCGGAAGGGGCGTTCGGATTGTCGCGCCTCAGCTCGGTGAGCAAAGTGCTGTAGCTCCAGCCCCGAGCAGCTTCTGGGTTCCAGCCCTTCGCATCTACCTCCGACCCTCTTGCGCCTCAGAGCTGCAGCCGCGTCTCGAGCCCACAGCGCTCACCACTAGCCACGATGCATGTGATCAAGCGAGGTGAGAGGCGGGAGAGGCGCGGGAAGTCGGGAGCGGGTGAGGGGCGCGGGCTGCCACGCGGGAGCAGTTAGCGGAGCCCGCCCGCCGCTTCCCGCCCAGCTGCTTCCCGCCCTGCAGACCGCGGCTTCCCGCCCTGTCAGCCTGCTCGGCCTTCTGGCTTCGGTCCACCGGCACCCCCATCCCCTCAGACGGAAAGGCTGCGCCCCTCCGCTTTAGTCATCGGGTCGTTCCTGTGTGCGCCTGGCGTTTTCCAGGTTGTGTTTGGCTCCTCACCGCCAGCCCCTGAGGTGGAGATAATTGGCACCACTTCGCAGAAGAAGAAGCGGGAGTGCGGAGAGGCCTGGCGCCTGCCACTGAGCCCTCCCGATTAATGGAGGGGGAGGCCAGGATTCGAACCCAGAGTTCTCCGTGGAGTTTTATTTGAAAGTTTTATTTGAAAACTGTGGCATGGGTGACTTCTTAGGCACACTGCAGAGAGCTGGCCACGAAGGGACCCGACCCTACAGGACACCTCAGTTTCCTGATCTCTTTTGGGGGTGAGGGTAGGGGCGTGGGTGAAAAGATCAGCCAGACACAGACATCTGCCTGGAATGGCCCTTGCTAGGACATGGAGGCCGTTTACCCAGAATCGGCCTAGAGGAGTTTGGGAGAGAGGCCGGCTGCCCCTTCCCCTGAAGGACAGAGATAACAGAGTAGTGGAGGGTGGGGGGCCCCCACCTCTGCCCGCATCGGACAGTGAAGACCCGGGAACGTGTATTCTTCAGCAGCAGTTATTTCCCATTAGACTTGCTGAGCACCCCCATTGTGCCCCGCCTTAGGAAAAGGTTTAATCTGGTAGGAAAAACCAGAGCAAACAGAACTTGAATGCGGAACCGTGTGAGGCAGGTATGAGTGAGTTTAGAGTCAAATCTCCTTGCCTCTTTTAAAGCAGTAGTTATTTCAAAGCTGTTGGTACTCAGGAAGTACTGATTGGCTGGGCTGTGAGTGTTTCAGAGATGGGGACTTTATGCCTACAGCACCGGACCTTCCATGAGTAGATGTTCAAAGAGTGAATGAGAATAATTATTTTAAAATATGGGATGGAAGGCTTGCTGGGGTAGCCACGTAGTTGATTTGATTGTGTCCAGATGGTTTAACTACAACCAAGAGCTGGAGAGAGAGACTGTGGCGGCCCTTCTTGTTTCTAGTGTCCAGAGAATATCATTTTTCTCTGAACTTCCCCATTTTGCCTGATGAGACTAAAATAACAGTGTTCCTGTGAGAGATGAGCATCCAGTTTTTGAGACATTTACGAAAAGATAGGGAAGGATGAAGATGTTCTTTCTGAGTCTGTAACACAAGTGTATTAAAAGCTTGTGATGTAACACTTTTGTATTGGAATTTTTAACCTTTCGGGTCCTTAAAATACTGTAGCACCTATAGTGAGTACCTACAAAAAGTACCTACAATAAACTCTAAAAGACAGGGCTTCATTTTGTTTCTCATTCTTTCAGAGAACAGAATTTGATCCAGATGGTTTCACTGCTAGGTTCTGACAGTGTTGCATCTGGCAAGGCTTGTTAATATACACATGTACTTAAATTTGTTTAGTTTTTGAATTTTAAAGTGTTTTTTTTTTCTTTTATTTTTGGGTGCCAGTATATTAGCAGACTAACTCTTGTGGTTTTTGCTAATTTTAACATAATATTCAGGAGGGCAGCTGGCAGTCACCCTACAAGTTTTTTCTGAATGTACTAATACTAATATCTTGCTTAGTTAGCCTATGAGGGAAATAACAGAGGGAGAACACAGCCTGTCTTCAGATAGTTTAGGGTTGTTAGTTATGTTGGAATACATATGGAAAACGTTAGATAACAGAAGGGAAGAGTAGATAAGTTTTTCTCATTTGCTATCCAAGTAGTAGAGTACTATTGCTCAAGGAGATTAAGGTTAAAAAATAAAAGTTGAGAACTGTTGCAATGAAAGCACTGTAGCTGACTGAGTTGTAATGTGTGTTTTGGAACTGTAGTTTTCAACACTGGGTAGTAACCCACAGTCAAAATTATATTTTACATCATGGCTAAGTACAGTTGTATGTTTATTATTTCCATAAAACTGAAATAAAAGTTCCCCAAATAATATACTCTAAAGCAAACATTTGAGCTTTGATGATACCTTCTATTCCATGTAGCTCTTCTATCTTCCCTCCCTCCCTCACTGCCTCCTGCACCCCTCCCCTTCTCCCCCACTCCTTTCCCTTCCTCCTTTTTTCCCTCTTCTTTGTCCCCCCCCCCCCCTTTTACAGCTCACTGTTTTCCACATCTGTGTGGCTACTGTTCTGGGCACTGAGATTACAGTGGTGAGTAGGCAGATACAGTGCCTACTTTCAAAGATCTTACAGTCAGTGAGAAAAATAGAAAAAAATATTGAAACAATGCGATAGTCTTGACAGGTAATAAATAGTCTATACAGGCTATAGGAGCCTATTCAGTCAGTTACTCAGAAGGTATTTATTCACTTTGTTGTGCCAAGAACTTTTTAGGTGCTGGGGATTCAGCAGTGAACAAAGCAAACAAAATCCCTTTTTTCATGTAGTTTACATTGTAATGTGGGTGAGAATGGTAAGTATATGCAAGAAAAATATGTAAGAATTAATTTCAGGACCTCCCCTGTGACACAGCTGGGTTGAGCGCCGTGCTGTGAAGCTGTCCGCAGCCTCTGCAGTGCAGGTTCGATCCTGGCCAGCCGGCGAGAATGAGAATCCCACAAGGCGCCAGACCTCTCCTGTGTCACCTGCTGCTCTCCTCAGCAGTGTATTTCTGTCGTCTGCCTGTTCTGCTCCCTGCTTTGTCTCTGGTGAATCTTCTCACCCTCCCGTGCCTCTGGCCTGTACCCCAGCTCTTGTATAAAAATAAATAAATTAAAAAAAAAAGAATTTCAGCTAGTTGAATTGATTGATGAGAAGGTAATTTTGGGTTAGATTCTCAGAAGGTAAATTTGGGGAGCTGACATTTGAGTTGTAATGTGTGTTTTGGGATTGTAGTGTTTTCAAAACTTTGGGTTGTAACCCACAGTAAATACTAAAACACCTGAATAATCCTAAGTGCCAGATATTTGAAGATCTGTGGACTGAATATGCCAGGTAGAGGAATTAAAAGTTTTATCTTGTAGAAGAGGCACAACTTTGGTTTTACAGCATTAGCAATCTTCCTGGAGAGAGAAGAATTAAAGAAGACAGCTTATAACCAAGAGGAAATCAGAGAAGTGGATTTCAACGGAGGAAAAGGTCAATGTGAGTTAAAATGGTTGAGGCAGTTTTCATGGATGAGGTGAGAGTTGGAGAGTGAGCAGGAGATGTATGGAAAGGTGGAAGTGGGACTTTTCAGCAGAGTAAGTTTTAAGCAATAATGTGGATGTGGGAATGAGAGGCCCGTTGGGACTTAAGATAATTCACAAGAAGAGGTAATATGAAAGCAAATTAAGCAAGGTGTTGCTTGTGAAAAGATGGTCATGTAGATAGCAGGAGGATCATGTAGATAGCAGCAGATATGATAAAGTCAGTATCTGGATTGAAAAATCAGCCAAGTGTAATGATAGGCTAGAGAACAGTAAGTCATAGGTCCTTTAGACCTTTAGTGTCCCTCCCTTGTTGGTGTCAGTTAAGATAATTGCTGTTATACTTTTTCCCTGCTTCCTGATTAACTTGACAGCTGCAGAATTCTATGTTTGCTATTGCTTTTTGATCACTTGCCTGCCTAGTTACCCAATTGGTAAAGCATTGAGGGCTCATTTCCAGTGTGAACTAGTTAATTTATTCTTTTTGAGAGTCAAACACTGCATATGTGAATCTGGTCAAAAAAGGAGACCATAGTGGTGATCAGGAGAAAGGCTGTCTTAGTGATAACACATCAGTGTAGAAGAAAAAGTAACGTTTTGCTGATGGTGGGTTAGTAGTGGTGTCTTGTTCATTTATTCCTCATCAAGCATTTGAAAACTTACCTTGGACTAGCCACTGGCTAACTTTGAGAATACAAATGTGAAAGAAGACTAAATGTAAACATAAATTTAACAAGTTGCCTTTTGATTACTAGTTACAAAAGATGTCAGAGACAAGCTAAATGAATTAAAATGGAACACTATTGAGTGAATATTGTGTATCAGATAGCAATGTTTTCCCAATAAGAGCACTTTCATTTGAATGATATGTAATAGTTGTAACTATATAACAAAAGTACCTTTTACTTTATCTTATCTTATTGTCACAGTAAACTGATGAAGAAGTGGTATAATAATTATCCCTATTCTACAAATGAATAGCCAATGACTATGTTATATGACTTGCCTAAAGTTAAAGCTATTAGTGATAAGATAGATCCACTATTCCTGGTAAGAGTAAATAAATAAAAGTGGGATGAGCTACTATTTGAAGTTAAACTAATAATAATAGAAGGACTTTTTGTTTGGAAGGACAAAGGAATATGATCTAGTCTGAAATCACGGAAGCACTCACTATGTCTGCATGTGTTTCTCTACCGTAACCCTGAAATATTAAAACTAAATTGTCTCAGGGAGATTGTCTTGAATTACAAATAGAAGTACTTGGTATGAAATAAATTCAAAATCATTGATTACTTTAGGAGAGTATGTAAGCCAAATTTATAATGAAGGTAGTAGAATGGAGACAGGTTTATAAGTCATTTAGCATTCACTAAATATTGGAGTACCTATTATGTTCTAGACCTTGGTCCTTGGGCTGAACACTGGGAACACAGTTCTATTTTGATGAATGAGTGTGGGGGGTCACAATAAACACAAAAGTGAAATATATTTAGTTCGGCTAGATGATACGTGCTGTGAAGAAAAAGCATAGAAGAAGGTAGAAGGGAGATAAAAAGAACAGCACTGTGTTTGGAGCATTGCCTTTTAAAATAGGGCGGTCAGGGAAAGCCTCACAGAAGATGACATTGAACGGACTCCTAAAGCAGATACAGATAGTGAGGATGCCAAGGGTTGCCAAAGTCAAACAGTTGAGGAAAGTGGGAGGGTAGGAGTTAAAGATGAGTGAGCAGAAAAACACAGCATTTTTCGTAGGAGTCTGTGGACAGTTGTAATGATTTAGACTTTTATTTCGAAGGAGATAATAAACCATTTTATGGCGTTTTGAGTGAGGTGATAGGATTTTAAGGGTACTTCTGGTTGCTGTGTGGGACAAGTCAGGGAACATCTTGGAAACTTATTGAAGAATTCATGTGATTTATAATGGAAGGTGAGGGAGGATTTTTAGTATAAATGCCCTGTTTTTGAAGATGACAAAAATCATCTATGACACTGCTGTCTTAATAAGTACTAACATGAATTGTGTGGTTTGATTTTTTTTTTTTTTCCCAGATGGACGCCAAGAGCGGGTTATGTTTGATAAAATTACCTCTCGAATCCAGAAACTTTGTTATGGACTCAATATGGACTTTGTTGATCCTGTGAGTAAATATGGCTTTGTATCTTTGATTACTTGCTTCATGTGTTGCTTTTTACTTGTCTTTTATCTGTAGCCTTCCACTCACTTTTTTTTCTAAATTTTTGTTCTTTCTAGTGAGATTTTTTTTCAGCTAACTATAAAAGTGAGGAAAGAGGAAAATTTGATAGTAACATTTCTTATTAGAGACTTCCTTAAGTAAATTTTTTAATTTATAAATGGAAAAGCCTGTAGTAAATTTTGCTTTGGAATTGTGGTCACTTAGGAAATGTATTGAAATGTGCTATTTGTTATCTATGTAGAGTCCGTAAGTAATATGAAGTAGAGTTCATGCACAGCATTTAAATTAAGGAGAGCAAATCTATTGTAGGCAAGTTCTGCTTTTCTCTGTATGTCCTCTAACTCCTCTGCTTTAGGACCCTTATTTTACTCCACTGCTGTCTATAGTGGTCTTTAAGTCTTCAGTCTTAAAGTGCCCTCCTGGTCTTCCCTAATCTTTAATCTCTTCAAGTTCATCTTCTACATGGCTTCTAGAGTAATCTTCCTAAGAACTCTTTTTCCAAATCCATCCACCTTGCATGCTTAATTTAGGTGTTATAGCTGTACTGCTGTAGCGCATGTGCTGGCATCAGCCTTAACTACATAATATGGAAATCAATTCTGTCTGTGTCCTCACTCAGAAGGGTAGACTCTATCTTACTGTTGTGATAATATCAGTGCTTAACAGTTCTTTTTTTAAAGATTGATTTATTTATGTATACAAGAACTGGGGTACAGGCCAGAGATGTGGTGGGTAAGAGGATTCACCAGAGACAGAGTAGGGAACAGAACAGGCAGATCGATGGAAATACACTGCTGAGGGGAGCAGCAGGCGAGTCTGCTGCACCATGTGGGTTGCTCCCTTGCTGGGGATCGAACTCGCGCTGCAGTGGCTGTGGATAGCTTCATAGGTTGTGTCTTAACCTCTTGCACCACAAGGGAGGCCCAGTGCTTGACAATTTTTAATTAAAGCTTAATAAATATTGAATTGACCAAAATGCTCAAAAGAAAACAATTTCATAGAACTAGAAGATATGTTTATTATAATTTCTCTTACATTTAGGATTTCTAGACAATAATTTGAATGATAGAATGTTTGCGTTGGAATGAACCTAGGTTGAAAGATTATCCCATTTCATCTTATTTGTTTTATAGATAAGGAAGTTCTAGAGTGAGAAGGGAAGTGACCTTTACAAGTTAGTGGGCATATGTAAGGAGAAGAATTTAAGCTTCTTGCCTCCTAGATGTTTTATTACCTCATGTAATACTACATTTCAGAGATTAAGGATGCTGGAACAGACTCACGCTTCCTGGGGTAGATGTATCAATAGTTGAAAAAGACTGTATTCTGTATATCTGTATGCACAGTTGGGGCATAGATTTTTTTTTATCCTGAGTCTGATTACTTGTCATGTAACACCAGAAACTATTGAGAAGACATCATTGCTATTTTACAGAACATAATTGATTAGCTAGATCTCAGAAGAAAGTGATCAGAGCAACTTGGGCGTAGGTATAATGTATAGAATAGATTGTAAGCTGGTAATTATACACAAACTTTTTTTGAGAGGGGCATAGTTTGGTCACCTGGGAAATGCATTTATTTTCTGTTGGATTAAGCTGTTTTCTTACACACATATACACAACTTAGAATTTGTTTTTTCTGAAAAATGCATGGTAATAACATGTATTGTGTGCTTTAGAGTGGGAAATCTCTTGCAGTATGGTTTTAAAAATGCAGTGAATTTGAGTGGGATTTGGAGCCAGAAGACTTAATAACCTTGGACAAGTCCCAGTAACCTTAATCTTAGGGTCCTCATATAATACTGTGATAACAGTAATACCCAAGGCAATTGAATTGTCAGAGAAGATTATGAAATTTGGGACTCTTTGATAACTCAACCCCAGTCCTAATTTATATCTTTATTTCTTTAATTGGAATGATTAAAGCTTGGTTCATTTGCTTTCCTATACTTTTTCTTTGGTAGAATTGGGGGAGAATGGGTAAGAATGTAACTCAAACCCTGATCACATAGGGAGATTTTAAATGAAAGATGGGGAAATACTTACGGAATCATTGGTCTCTTTTCAGCTATTTCCCTGTGAGACTATTCATCTCTGTAAAAGCTCTACTTAGTTGTTTTTTGTTTTTTTTGTTGTTGTTTTTGTTTGTTTTTTGTTTTTTGGGACACCTCTTTGTATATGTTGCATGTTTTTATTTTCTGGCAGCTTTGTTAGTTTATGAATCTTATTAAGTTTCCCACAGCCCACTATTCTAAACGATTATTTTTCAGGGAAGGAAGTTTTTATTTTGATATGAATTGAATTGTTTTCTTTTTTGCTGTTTTAAGGAAGCTGTTGGTTCTTGGGAAGGCTTAAGTAATTGTTGGTTTTGTATTTTAGGCTCAGATCACCATGAAAGTAATCCAGGGCTTATACAGTGGGGTTACCACTGTGGAACTAGATACTTTGGCTGCAGAAACAGCTGCGACCTTGACTACTAAGCATCCTGACTATGCCATCCTGGCAGCAAGGATTGCTGTCTCTAACTTGCACAAAGAAACAAAGAAAGTGTTCAGTGGTGAGTCTAGATGAAAAAGTTAGCAAAAAATTTGGTATTCTCAGAAAATTTATAAGGGTACTAGAAAGAAACCTTGAATGTCAAAAGAAAAGTTATATCTTGTTTTAAAAAAGCAAAATGTGCACGTTTATGGTAGAGAGGGGAGTAGAACTTCCTGTTTCTCCATGCTGCTGACCCGAGTGGAAGAGTCAGCAAAAAGGAAGCCTTTTCTTTATCCTTTCTATTCCGGGTTGTGTTTTTTTTTTTGGAAGCCCATGATTAGGCAGTTGTTGGTGGTATGGTTGGAAAATGAATATTGACAATTATGGATGAAACAATATGTTATTCTTTTGTCACTATCATCAAACACTTCATTCCATCACTTCTGTTTTATAGCTCAGGAAATGGAGGCAATAGAAGGTAAAATAATTTTTTTGGTGTATAACAGGTGTTGTGTAAAAAGTCAACAGGTATGCTGACGTTAGGAATCTTTTGGCTCACAATTCTACATCTATTATGTTATATTTTCAAATATTAAACCTTTCTCTTTAATGGATTTATTGGATAGATATCAGTTCTTCCATAATTGATCTGCAGATTCAAGTGGATCCTAATCAAAACACTAGCATTGTGTATGTTTATATGTGTGACTTTTATATGTAAATGCAGAGAACCTTGTACTATTATGGTGTCTTGAAGAAGATCAAAATGAAAGGGTTTACTCAAAGTGTATTTGTAGAGATGAAATGGTTGGATCAAATAATCTGAATTTTAAGTTGACGTTCTATTCCTTTAGGGTAAAAAAAAAAAAACCCTGAGGTTATAATTTATTTTATTTTCAATCAGTAATTCTTAATGGAATTGGGTATCAGAATCTTTTTCATACTTCAAGAGTGTTTGGCCACTAACTCTGAAGATTGTTTCCTTGTATGTTTACTCAGCACTTTCTATGCTAGGTACTGAAGTGGGTTAGGAGGAAAAAGGTTTGAGAACTGCTGTTTTAAACTATAACTTAAATATTGAATTAGCTGTAAAATTATTTTGACTTTTGAAAATCTTTTTAGATGTAATGGAAGACCTGTACAATTACATAAATCCACATAATGGCAAACATTCTCCTATGGTGGCCAAGTCAACACTGGATATCGTTTTGGCCTATAAAGATGTAAGTATAATGCTTTTCTGGTGAAAACTTTTTAATTTCTATTTTAAAGCGATACGCATTTTAGAAATTTAAACACTGCAAAAGATAAAGATAATTGTTTCTTCTTTGAATCCTAATTTTCTTCTCTAGAAGCAACATTATTTCAAATGTATTTTCTAGAGCTATTCTGTAATATGTGTGTGTGTACTTTTAGTGATATGTTTGTGTCTTTGTACATATATGTGAAAATTTCTTTAGTGATAGATATTTGTTTTTCATCTTTTACTGCAGTGGCTATCTTTGTATGGTACGTATTTTGCTTATTAATGATTATATTGGTCAGATAAATTCCTTAAATGCAGTTGCTGGGCCAAAGAGGATATGCATTCACAATTTTAGTAGACACAACCAAATTTACTCCCAGAAAGGTTGCTCAGGTAAAATTTTGAAAGGTCTCGCTCAGCAACTTTAAAATTATTTACTAGATAATTTTAACTAGATCCCAGAAGAGGGAAGGGTTAGGATGTTTGGGTCCATCCAGCTCTTTTCCAGTTGGAGGGTTTATTTACCATGAATATCTGGACAGTTTTAACTTTGGGTAATAGAATGATTATTTGTCTCTCTGAACATGTGTCTGATATAAAGAGACAAAAACCAGTTATGTATTATTCATATGTGTGATCTTGAAGATAGGTTAAAATATAAAATAAAACATCAGCAAAAACCTATATCTGAAAATAAATATTGATAATCAAATATTTCATTTCTCCATTATTCATACTAGACCCCTGCCTGTCTTTGGCAACAAAGATAGTGTCAAAAATTTAAGAGAAAGGATTTTATATAGATTTTTCTAGCCTTTGGTCATGGATCATTAAGTAGGAGCACTGTTAGGATTTTGAATAACTGACTTTATAACAATGGCTTGTTCTGATACAAAATTTTATTGTCACAGTGGTACTTTGTTTAAAACCTGTTAAAGGGACCATGAATTTTGAGACTTAAAAATGAATGTAATCCTATTTTCTCATAGTCATATATATTGTTATATGCAGTTTAAATGGTGTAATTTTTAAAATAAAAATATGTATTACTAAGTATGTGGTACTAATACTTTTGGATCAGCAGTTAATTTAAAAGCAGGTTTAAAGATGATAATATAGTCCCTTTTATGTTCATATTCTTTCCCTCTAATTAGAGATGTTTTATAAACTTATAGGGAAGATTTGGAAATTTATATTTTATTTATGTGTAATTTATATTTGCAAGTTTCCTTCAAGTATTTTAATATCAATGTTTTTAAACCTAATCAGGATACTCAGTATGCATACTGTTTTTTTCTCTTAACATTAGACATGAATTTCTATTTTGCAGTAATACTTAGCATTATCTCTTCATGTCTAATCATTACGTTAATATTAGTTGGGGACTCAGGCCTGAAAGATAGGAGATTTTGTGAAAAGTCTCATCATCTTAATTATGGATTCTTTTTCATGTTTGTTAGCGCCTGAATTCTGCCATTATCTATGACCGAGATTTCTCTTACAATTACTTTGGCTTTAAGGTAAGTAATGAGTTTTAAATAAGTGGGAATTCCTCCTAAAATTAAGAAATACAGGTTTTTGTGTTTTAGTGATAGAAATATAAAGGCAATACTTTGTGGGAGTTGGGATGACCTGGGGAATTAGTGCAATTAGAATGGTGGTAATTGGGCCTCCCTGGTGATGCAGGGGTTAAGCACGAGTTCAATCCTTAGTTCAATCCTACCCGCCAGGGAGCAACCCACATGGCGCAGCAGACCTCTTCTGACTCGCCCACTCCTCCCCTCAGCAGTGTATTTCAGTACATGTGCCCTTTCTGCTCCCCACTGTCTCTGGTGAATCAATCCTCTCACCTCCTACACTTCTGGCTTCCACCCCAATTCTTGTATGCATAAATAAATAAATCTTTAAAAAAATAGAATGGAGGTAATTATTTGACTTAAGATAATTTACCCATTTGCAATTTTTAGATATTACTTTGGATTACCTGAGGAGTGAGGCAGATATTTTGCCAGTTATTCTATAATATTCCACTGTTGATGCAACAATTCTTACTGTGTCATGTGCTTTTCTAGATACTTTTGTGTTAATAAACAGTATGTATTGAGAACCTGATTGCTGGTGTCAGATCACCTGCTGTTTCTTTTTTTTTTTAAAGATTTGTTTTATTTGTTTATACATACAAGAGTTGGGGTATAGGCCAGAGGTGTGTGGGGGGGTGGTCAGAGGATTCACCAGTCACAGAATGGGGAGCAGAACAGGTGGATTGACTGAAATACACTGCTGAGGGGGACGGTGGGTGAGACAGTACAGTTCTGCTACGCCATGTGGGTCACCTCCTGGGCGGGGGATTGAATTTGTGCTGCAGTGGTTGCCAATAGCTTTCAGTTCTGCTACGCCATGTGGGTCACCTCCTGGGCGGGGGATTGAATTTGTGCTGCAGTGGTTGCCAGTAGCTTCATAGTGCTGAGACGTAACACCTTGTGCTGTCTAGGGGTCCCCACCTGCTCTCTTTCTTATTAGAAAGTTACTTAATCTCTCTGTGCTAGGTTTCCTCATCTTTAGAATGGGGATAGTTACATGATTTCAACATTCTGTTGAGGTTTAAATGAATATGTGTTGGTTAGATTAGTGCCTAACCTATTAAAAAATACTTTATAATTGTAAACTTTTATGATGTTGAATGATGATGATACCACCACTTTTTTTTAAATTAATTTTTTTAGATTTTTTTTACATCATTGTTCATTTTTAAACAATGTTTGCTTTTTTTCCCCCTCCCTCAGGTGTAGTCCCCATAGAATTTCCTTCACCTGTGCACCATCACCACTGTTCCCTGTGCTTCTCCCTCCCTCCCTTGAATACCACAGCTTCTGCATGTAATGTTATACACATTAATTTAAAGGCTACTTTTCCAAGAAATTTTCATGTGATCTTTTCCAAAAGAAACTGCCTACTGATAATATTCCATATTGAAACTAGTAAGAAAAATGTGCTATTCTTTTCATTCAAAATGACATAAAAACTGAGAAGATTTAAATTGATTGCATTAATGTTATGATCTCTATCTTAAAAACTGCTCTGGAAGTTTTTTGGTTACTTTGCTATTTCTAGACGCTGGAGCGATCCTATTTGTTGAAGATCAATGGAAAAGGTGAGAAATGAACGTGTTTGTGTGTGTGTTTTTTTAATTATATTATTAGATAGGGCTTTGCGCTATTAGCTTTAACATTTTATTTAAACTCTAAATAACATGTTTAACTTTAGGTTTAGTTTATAAATAATTATCTAGCTTGTTGATATAAAGCTTTTAAAATTTTCTTTTGTTCTTTTTTGACTGAAGTATATGTCTCAGCCTAGTTTTTCTGATATTTTCCTTCATGTGAAAACTGCTTTTTTGTCTTTAGTGGCTGAAAGACCACAACATATGTTGATGAGGGTATCTGTGGGAATTCACAAAGAAGATATTGATGCTGCTATTGAAACATACAACCTTCTTTCTGAGAAGTGGTTTACTCATGCCTCTCCTACTCTCTTCAATGCTGGTACCAACCGCCCCCAACTTTCTAGGTATGTATCATTTATAGTCACTTTTAATATTCTGAAATGGTGTTGACTAGGGAAATAAACTTCATCTTGAAGAAAGATCATGACATAAAAATTAATTTAATAAACCTTGAATCACCCCTACTCTGATCAAATGAAATTTGCATTCTGGAAAGATTTCTTTCCACATTGTGGTAAATGAATTGGAGGCAAATACTGATAATAAAGTTTTAAAAAATGGATTGTGGTAATGGTTGCAATATACTGAAAACCATTAATTTTATACCTTAAATGGGGAAGTGTATGGTATGTGAATTTTATCTCATAAAATTGTTTAAAAAGAGGGCCTTCCCAGTGGCGCAGCAGTTGAGCACTGGGTTGCGAAGCTGCCCGCAGCCTCTGCAGCTCCAGTTCGATCCCCGGCCACCAGCGAGGGTTCCACATGGCGCGATAGACCTCTCCTGCTGCCCGCTGCTCCCCTCCGCAGTGTATTTCCTCAGTCTGCCTGTTCTGCTCTGGTGAATTCTCTCACCCTCCCGCGCTTCTGACTGTACCCAGTGCTTGTATAAATAAATAAATAAATAAATCTTAAAAAAAAATTGTTTAAAAAGAAAGTAGATACTGAGAACTAGTTAGGGGAATTTTACAGTAGTTTGTAGAAGAGATTATGGTTATTTGGATCAGGAAGAAGAAAATCATGGTTGACAGAAGTAGATAGACTCAAGAGATATTTAAGAAACAAAATAATTATTTATTTTGGATATGGGTCAAGGATGGTTTCTGAGTTTTATGAGCAAAGTTTTTAAGCATGCTGTAATATATAAAAGAAAAAAAGGACAATGACAAGATGGCTTATCCCAGAAATTCAATGATATACTAACATCAAAAGTATATTAATGTAATTCATTGCACTAACATTTGTGCCATTTAATACTTTTTCATAATATATTCTCCTCTAGAGCCTCTGGAAAAGGGAGTGTTCTTGATTTTTGCCCAGTGAAACTGATGTTGGACTTTGGGCCTCCAGATCTGAGAATTAATTTCTGTTTTAAGCTACCAAGTTGGTGGTAATTTGTTAGGGTAGCCATAGGACACTAATATAAATAGCAAGACCATTTTGAAGAAAAAGCCCTACCACATTTTAAAACTACTGTAAAGTTATATATTTTTTATTTTTAACTCTAAGATGAGAGTGTATGTATATACACATCTGAGCATTTTGTTTAGCAGATAAATTGGAAATAATACAAATGTCTTATCAACAAGCAAATTGACAAATATAATTGGCATATTCGTACAATGGGGTGCCTTACAGTAGAGAAAATAAACTAGGGCTATAAAATGGGTATGAAATACCTCCTAACTTTTATATTCCGAATTATTAGCGGTTTATCATCTCATGTTTATTGGCTAATCAAGTTTCTTTTATTTTTTGTACCTCCTAACTTTTATATTCCGAATTATTAGCGGTTTATCATCTCATGTTTATTGGCTAATCAAGTTTCTTTTATTTTTTGTACATGCTTTGCCCTTTTTTTTTTTTCCTTAAAGATTTATTTATTTATTTATACAAGCACTGGGTACAGTCAGAAGCGCGGGAGGGTGAGAGAGTTCACCAGAGCCAGAGCTGGGAGCAGAACAGACTGACGAAATACACTGCTGAGGGGAGCAGCGGGTGGCAGGAGAGGTCTGTGCGCCATGTGGGACCCTCGCTGGCGGCCTGGGATCGAACCGGCGCTGCAGTGGCTGTGGGCAGCTTCGCAGCCCAGCGTTCAACCGCTGTGCCACCAGGGAGGCCCTTTGCCCATGTTTTTATTTGGTATGTGTCTTGTTCTTTTTTTTTTTTATAAGATTTTTATTTATTTATTTATACAAGAACTGGGGTACAGGCCAGATGCGCAGGAGGGTGAGAGGATTCACCAGAGACAGAGCGGGGAACAGAACAGGCAGACTGACAAAATACACTGCTGAGGGGAGCAGCGGGTGAGACAGGAGAGGTCTGCCATGCCATGTGGGACCCTTGCCCGCTGGCCGGGATCAAACCAGCGCTGCAGAGGCTGTGGACAGCTTCACAGTGCTGCGCTGAACCGCCTGCGCCACCAGGGGAAGCCCTGTGTCTTGTTCTTATAATCTCTCCATAGTTAAAATACATTGCAAGTATCTTCTCTAAGCCGGAAGCTTTTTTTGTTCACTTTGTTTTTTGTTCACAAGAGGTTTTTTTTTTTTTTAAAGATTTATTTATTTTATACAAGAACTGGGGTACAGGTCAGAAGCGCAGGAAGGCGAGAGAATTCACCCAAGCTAGAGCGGGGAGCAGAACAGGCAGATGGACTGAAGACACTGCTGAGGGTAGCAGCGAGTGAGGCAGGAGAGGTCTGCTGTGCCATGTGGGGTTCTCCCTGGCCGGCGGGGAATCAAACTGTTGCTGCAGAGGCTGCGGACATCTTCGCAGCATGGCGCTCAACCGCTGCGCCACCAGGGAGGCCCTGTTCACAAGAGTTTTTAATGTAGTCACTTTTTCCTTTATTTTGCTTATATGTGTATTAAGAAATCCTTCACCACTCTGAAGTCATATATATTCTCCTATCTAGATGTAAAATGAAGCACTAAGAGTCATGTCTACAACTCACTGTATTCAACCAAGGAATGTTTATATACTGTTAGTGGTAATATAGACTGGTTCAGCCCCTATGGAAAACAGTATGGAGGTTTCTCAAATAAAATATTAAAAATATATCTACCATATGATCTAGCAGTTCAACTCTTAAGTTTCTATAGAAAGAATGCAAAAACACTAATTCAGAGGGATATATACACTCTTATGTTCAGTGCAATACTATTTACAATAGCTAAGTTACGGAAGCACCTGAAGTACCCAAGGACAAATGAGTGAATTAAAGAAAAAGATGTGGTACATATACACAGTGGAACACTATTCAACTATAAAAAAAGATGAACTCTTGCCATTTGCAACACATGGATAGAACTGGAGGGGGTAATGCTAAGTGAAATAAATTAGAAAGAGTGAGACAAATAGCAGATGGTTTTACTTTCATGTGGAATACAGAAAAACAAAACGAAGGGCCAGATAAAACCAAGCCAGTAGCAACCCTTGTAATCAGACTGTAGAATTGAAACTACCAGAATGTTAGTGAGTGGTGGAGAGCAAGGTGGGAAAGGTGCCTGAAGGACTATGGTAGAAGATTATGGGTACCTTGGTAGTAGGTGTGGTGAGGTAATACTCCAAAGGGGTGTGATCCTATACTTCTGAATTATATGTAGAGTGCTAAATCAATGTTACCTTAATAAAAAAGAAGAGTTACTAAAAATAATAAAATGACTTAGTCAAGAGAGTATATGTGTGTGTATGCATACTCATTTTAAAGCTAAAAATAAAATATGGCTTTATGGTAGTATTAAAATCTGGTAGGGCTGGGGCCTCCCTGGTGGCGCAGCGGTTGAGCACTGGGTTACGAAGCTGCCCGCAGCCTCTGCGGCGCTGGTTTGATTCCTAGCTGCTCCCCGGCCACCGGAGGAGGGTCCCACATGGCTCACAGACCTCTCCTGCCACGCCTGCTGCTCCCCTCAGCAGTGTACTTCGGTCCTTCTGCCTGCTCTGCTCCCTGCTCTGGCTCTGGTGAATTCTCTCACCCTCCCACGCTTCTCACTGTACCCAGTGCTTGTATAAATAAATAAATAAATCTTTAAAAAAAAAAATCTGGTAGGGCTTTTTCTTTTAAATGGTCTTGCTATTTATATTAGTGTCCAATGGCTGCCCTAACAAATTAAAACTTTTAATAATGAATGATGCTAAGAATGTGGAACAGTAGAGGGAGGACCCAGCTGTACCACAGAGAGCAACGATCACGTGGGAGAGTGCCCTCCGGCTCCCACACAACATCGGAGACCGCGCAAACCATGGTGCATCTGTGCTGACCCTGGCTGGCCCTTTGAGTAAAACCAGGCAGGTAACGGGAGGGCACAGCAGCCCCACGGTGAGCATCAACCACCTGGGAGAGTGCTCTTTGGCCCACACAGAGCATCAAAGCCTGCGTGAACCTACTGCACATCCTCGCTGACCCTGCTTGGCCTTCTGAGTGAAGCCAGGCAGGTAGAGGGAGGGCCCAGCAGCTACAAGGTGAGCAGTGACCACGTGGGAGAGTGCCCTTCTGTCCACACACAGCAACAGTGTGCATGAATCCAGGCTCTGGCGGCACCGACCCTGCCCGGCCCTGTGAATGAAGCCAGGTAGGTAGAGGGAGGGCCCAGCCGCTACAAGGTGAGCAGCGATGACCTAGGAGAGTTGCTCTTCAGCCTACACACAGCATCAGAGCCTGCGTGAACCCCAGCGCAGCTGTGCCAACCCCTCCCACCCCTGTGACTGAAGCCTAATAGGTAGAGGGAGGACCCAGCAGCAATACAGAGAGCAGTGACCACATAGGAGCGTGTCCTTTGTCCCACACGCAGCATTAGAGTCTGCGCAAACCCTGCCAGCTCTCTCCAACCCTGTGAGTGGAACCAGGCAGGTAGAGGGAGGGCCCAGCAACTAAAAGGTGAGCAGCAACTACATGGGAGAGTATTCTTTGGCCCACATACCAGATCAGAGGCTGTGCGAAGCCAGTGTGGCTGTGCCAACCTCTCCCGGCCCTGGATGTGAAGATGCATATATTGGGGAGAGACCAGCAGCACAGAGACTCCTACCATACACAAAGACCAACTCAAAATGGATAAAAGACCTGAATGTAAGACCTTAAACTGTATAGTGGAAAAAAACATAGGCAAAACACTCTGACATATATTTCAGAAACATCTTTGAAGATTCATTCCCTGAAGCAAAAAAATGAAGGAAAGATAAATAACTGCAACTACATCAAACTGAAAAGCTTCTGTACCGAAAAGGAGACAATAAGCAAAATGAAGGGCCTCCCCAGTGGCACAGCAGGTTGAGTGCAGCGTTTTGAAGTTGACCACATCCTCTGCAGTGTGGGTTCGATTCCTGGTTGGCCAGGGAGATACCCACATGGAGTGGCAGACTTCTGTCTTGCCCACTGCTCCCCTCAGCAGTGTTTTCGGTCCATCTGCCTGTTCTGTTTCCTGCTCTGTCTCTGGTGAATCCTCTCACCCCCCACACCTCTGGCCTGTACCCCAGTTCTTTTTTTTTTAGGATTTATTTTATTTATACAAGCACTGAGTATAGTCAGAAACGCGGGAGGTTGAGAGAATTTACCAGAGCCAGAGCGGGGAACAGAACAGGCAGACTGACGAAATGCACTGCTGAGGGGAGCAGCGGGCGCGACAGGAGAGGTCTGTTGCGCCATGTGGGACCCTCGCCTGTGGCCGGGGATGGAACCGGCACTGCAGAGGCTGCGGGCAGCTTTGCAGCCCAGTGCTCAACCGCTGCGCCACCAGGGGAGGCCCTGTACCCCAGTTCTTATATTCATAAATAAATCATAAAAAAAGAGAAAGAAAGGAAACTGGCACTCCTGTGTTTATTGCAGCACTGTTTACAATAGCTAAGATACGGAAACAACCTAAGTGCCCAAAAACAGATGACTGGATCAAGAAGCTTTATACACAATGGAATACTACTCAGCAATCAACAAGGTAAACTCATGCCATTTGCCGCAACATGAATGGAGCTGGAAGGGATTATGCTCAGTGAAATAAGAAGGAAAAAGAAAAACATTGGATGGCTTCACTTATAGGAGGAAAATAGAGAAACCTAACATGGGATCAGAAAAAAAAAGACAAAACTAGTAGGCAAACTATAAATCCAAGACATACAGCAGGGGACAAAAAGGGAGAAGGGTCAAAAAAGAGGAGGGAAGAGTCTGAGAGACTATGATGATGGTTCACAGGTGATTTGTGGTGGGAATTTTATGGGGATTACATCTGAGGGGGAAATAAAACATTATACAAAAGTGAACAACAATATAAAATAAACATAGTTAAAAAAGCAAAAGAATGGAACAGAAATCGCATGCATTGCTAGAGGGAGTATACTTACCCATCCATTTTGGAGAAATTTTAGTAAAGTGGAACATATGCCTGTCTATCTTTTGATTCAGCAATTACCCTTCTAGGTTTATAGCCTATAGAAATCCTTAGACATAAGCACAGGAGACAGCTTCATAAACTTTCACAGTAGCAATGTTTAGAATAGCAAATAAATTGAAAGTAATATAATTGTCTACCAGCAAGCAAATCGACAAAATATTGACATATTCATACAACGGAGTGCCTTATAGTAGAGAAAATAAACCAGGGCTACGTGTATCAGTAGGAAGGGAACGTACACGATACTGAGTTAAAAGCAAGTTGCGGAAAGATAGACAACTAGAAAGTTTAAAAATGTGGACTATATATAAAAGCCAAAACAAGTAGAAATTGCTTGGGAATGGTATGGGATTTTAAATTAGGTTATATTTGTAGTGTCTGATTGCTTGAGGTAGATGGTAAGTACAAAATATGTATATTTTACAAATATGTCTTTCTGAATGTGAATATTTAATAGAAAATGATATGAATTCATTTGCCGGATTGAACATTAAGATAGTGAAGGGATCATTCATTGGTACAGTAAGGTTCCTAGGGAATGGAGCAGAATGAGATCAAAAGCACAGATAAAGGGGTTGTAAAGGAGCTACCTTTTGATGGCTGTATCATGGAGTTAGTTGATCATTGGATATGTTAATTTTTCATGAATATTTAGTTTTTCTTATAGGTTGAAAGACTGATGTATGCTTAGAAATTTGTATGAGAAAATGTGAAAATGACATAGTTGTGGTCTGGAACATGTAAACTAATCTTACACCTTATAAGACTTTCTTCTAGACTTAGCATATAGGGTAAGAAGAGAGGTGATTTTTAAAATAATATATGGAAAAAAATGTTGATATTTTATTGTGTCATATCCAGCAAAAGTTTTGTTTTCTTCTAAGAACACCTACCAATTTTTATTTATCTAATTTACTGTCTGGATTATGTAGTCATTTTTATGGCTATTTTTTTTCATTTCCTTGCTGAGTTCTTTTTTTCCCTTGTAGCTGTTTCCTTCTCAGCATGAAAGATGATAGCATTGAAGGTATTTATGACACTCTAAAGCAATGTGCGTTGATTTCCAAATCTGCTGGGGGAATTGGTGTTGCTGTGAGTTGCATTCGAGCTACTGGCAGCTACATTGCTGGGGTAAGCGTCTGCTGTTTGACTTGTAAAGTCACGGCTTATGGTCGAGAGGGTGTATGCTAGAGCTTGGGAGGTCTGCATCTCTGTCAATCATTACCTGGCTGTGTGACTTGGACTGAATCATTTCAACACTCTGGCTTCATTTTTATCTGTATTTCAGAGATTTAGATTAGATGATCTCTGGGTTCCTTTTTAGCTCAGATTTTGGTATTATTTTAGCTGTCATTTATTGATTGCTTACTATGTACTAAATCTGTTATTAAAGTTTTTTTTTTTTAAGATTTATTTTATTTATACAAGAACTGGGGTACAGGCCAGAGGCATGGGAGGGTGAGAGAATTCACCAGAGACTGAGTGGGGAGCAGAACAGGCAGATGACCGAAAACACTGCTGAGGGGAGCAGTGGGCGAGACAGGAGAGGTCTGCTGTGCCATGTGAGTATCTCCTTGGCTGGCCGGGAATGGAACCCCTGCTGCAGAGGCTGCGGACAGCTTCAAAGTTCTGCACTCAATTTGCTGCACCACCGGGGAGGCCCTGTTATTAAAGTTTTACATGATTTACTCATTTACTCCATGCGACAGTCTTATGAGATAGACATCATTGAAGACATATGGTTAGAGCTTTGCTCCTTAACTAAGTATTGGCACTTTTGTCTTCATTTTACATGTGAGGAAACTGAGACTTAAAAAATGAGTTACTTCCAGAGATCAGTCACTTAATATGTGATAGTGCTTTAAACTTGCAAGATTGAAGCTTTAAACATTGGTACTTTATGATGTAAATTCCAGCCCTTTGATTGGAATTATTCACTATTTAGGAGTCAAAATAGTAATTTTGGGTAAAGCTTCAATATAAATCCTATCTCCACTTCTTACCAGTAGTGTGGCATAGCACAAATTATTTTACATCTCTGAGATTGTTTTCTTATCTGCAATGTGAAGAAAATATCTAACCTTATAGAATAAAGTTAGAGAGTCCAGAGGAAATTATTCCATTTTGTAATGTTTCAAGATACTATGACATACAGAGCATTTTTGTACATGGTAGGGTGAGCCTTTGCTCACTAATCTTGATTTTTTAAGACTTGCCTTGGGCTTAGAAGATTGTTATTAATTTGCTTAAAGTGAATTTTTAGTGACACTTTTAATTGTGTTTGACCTAAACACTGTGGAGCACATAAGCAAAGTACACAGTTGTATACTGTTGTACCAAGAGAGAGCTATAGTTTTCTCCAGGTGATAAAGTTATAGGGTGGAAGGATTATTTTTAAATTCTTATCTTAGGAATCTATATTTTCTTATCTTCATTCTCGACTGCATTTATTGCTGAGAATCTCCATGTACCTTACTTATTGTCATGGTTTATCTGTTGCATATAATTCTTATTATAACTTGCCTGATCTTTGGAAAAAGACATTGTAGTGTTTTCACTTTACCCGAAGTATGTCTTTATATAATGACCTTTTGAAGGTGTGGAGTTTAAATTTAGCTACCCTGATTTTGGATTCTTTTGACTTGTAATTGTTATATTAATATCTTATTAGAGATGTTATATTAATATAATATTAGAGATGCAGTGAAACAGCTGTATGTAATTATAATGTATTCTTTATTTTATATTGGGCATTATGTTTTGAAAGCAGAAAGAGGTAGAGATGGAGAGCAGCTAAACTTCATAGATTGGGGGAGAGTAATTGTTCACTGAAGTCATTTCATTCTTTTCCTTGCTGATTCCCCTTCATCTCCAGATGTCTTTATTCCTGGTCTCTCTTTCAGACTAATGGCAATTCCAATGGCCTTGTACCAATGCTGAGAGTATATAACAACACAGCTCGCTACGTGGATCAAGGTGGAAATAAGGTATGTTCTATTATTTGAAAGTACTGGAAATCAGAACTGAAAATCTTTATACACGTATGTTTATAATAAGATGTTTATTATGTATGTTTTTATTTGGCTCTCTTCCCCTTCCTCACTTTTAAAATCAACTTAATGAGGTATAATTTACTTTAAAATACATGCGCTTTAAGTGTACAGTTTGGTGGGTTTTTGACAAATATGTATAGTTGTGTAATCACCACACCAATCTAGATATAAAACATTTCTGTTAACCCCCATGTTTTTGCATTTACATTAATCATCTTTATCACCAACCTATATATATATATATATACACACACATACACATATATATACATATATATATATACACACACACATATATATATATGTTAGCTATGACTCCTGGCAGTTGATTTAGTTAAGTTTTTTATATGATAGTTTATCAGCAAAGCTGTGATACCTAAACTTGAAATGGGGTTATGGTAGTTGTTCTAGGCTTTTCTTTAAAAAGACAAAACTCTGCTTATTTTATAGAGGGAAAAGTAAAAGTCAGAGGACTGGGTTGCTTACCCAGTGTTATTGGCAGGATAGTTTACAACTTCAGCCTATCTCTTACATACTTATCACCTATTAATTTACAAATTTCCATTTAATGAACTTAAAAAACAAATCTGTGGGGACTTTGATAAGACATACCACCTTTTTGACCTTCAATAAGAGCACAGCTTACTGTCAAAAGTTAATACAGTTTTCTTTGGACTTTACATATATATAGAGAGTATAAAGTGAGCTGACTAGCTGACAGAGAAACTAGGCAATATAGACTAGTTCACTTGTCACTTTGGACAAGTTACTTTTCTTCCACATTTTCTTGGTGTCAGAGGCTATTTTCACTCCTACGATTGGAAGGAAAATACTAATTTTATGTTTTTGTAGTATTTTTATTGGTATCATTTAATTCATTAATTATAGTGAAGATCAAAGGAGATACTGTAAAAGTGCTTTGGAAAATCTGAAGTTTTTTTTGTTTCTGTCTCCTTTCTTTGCCATAAGCGACCTGGGGCATTTGCTATTTACTTGGAGCCCTGGCATTTAGACATCTTTGAGTTCCTTGATTTAAAGAAGAATACAGGGAAAGAAGAACAACGTGCCAGAGACCTTTTCTTTGCCCTTTGGATTCCGGATCTCTTCATGAAACGAGTGGAAACTAATCAGGTCAGAGATAGGTACCATTGGTGATAACGACTCAATTCAAACCAACTTTCTTTTTTGTCATCTTATATCATTCTTAGGAGGAAACCACTTCTATATCTTGTTATGGAAGGCATTCTTCACAAGTTGAGATGCCATTCCTTCTGCTTTCTTGGATTTTTATTCTCTAAAGTAGGTGCTCTCTGACCTCAATGCTTAAGAAGTCATGTGCAAACAGGCAGCACTAGATGTTTATTTAGCTCTGAGTCTAAAATAATTCTTTCTATGGCAAATTGCCAAGAATCTATGACGTCACCTCATTCCTTGCAATGTTCCCTGTGTAGTATGTATAGTTTAAAGTTTCTAATGAATGGTGCTGTTCTTCCCTTTGTAGGACTGGTCTTTGATGTGTCCAAATGAGTGTCCTGGTCTAGATGAAGTTTGGGGAGATGAATTTGAGAAGCTGTATGAAAGGTATAAAAAAAATATGAAAGTGATGTTTTAGCCATGTTTCTCTTATTTGGGTGACCCAAAGTTCAGAGCTACATCAATTATTAGCTGGTTTCTAGGAATCTTCAGGAGCAACTAGAAGAGAGTATAGTTAATTATTTTATTTTGGTCAGGCTTGCTTTTCTGAATTGCCAGCAAAATTTTAGGATTAACTTCTTTTTTAACACTTTGGGACATATAAGTAGACTTTTTAAAAAATTGATCCTTTTGAAAACTAAAGCTAAAAGCAAGGATTTTTATTTCTTTTGTTATATAATACATTTTATAAAATAAGTTATATTTTAGCCTGCACATAGGAATCAAGAGCAACTGGTACACACATGTCAATAGATCATTAAATACTGGCACGGTTGTAGGATATTTGACTGCTTTAGGTTCTGTTCCTTTATATTATGAAAGGTATTGATTAAGTGGAACAGGGTGCATTGAAAGAGTTTATAGCTTCATGATTTTTCCCTATGGCTTTAGCAGCTTAAAATGAATATTATATTCCTTTTTTTTCCCTTAGCAAAACTTAGTAAACATTTCAGAGTTTTCATAATTTTCTATTTTAGTGTCTTTCTTTAAGTTATTTATTGTAAAGATTTTCTTAGGGAATATTAAAATAATATGAGCTTTGCTTTTCAGTTATGAAAAACAGGGTCGTGTCCGCAAAGTTGTAAAAGCTCAGCAGCTCTGGTATGCGATCATTGAGTCTCAGACAGAAACAGGTACACCATACATGCTCTACAAAGATTCCTGTAATCGGAAAAGCAATCAGCAGAACCTGGGAACAATCAAATGCAGCAACCTGTGCACAGAAATAGTAGAGTATACCAGCAAAGATGAGGTAGGTAGAAAAACCTCTGCCAAGAGTGTTGAGAGAAGAATCCTAGGGAGTTAATATGTGTGACTCCCTCACTTAATTTCACTATATACGGGTGAATAGTTTACTATAAGCAGAAGGGCAGTAATATAGAGATTATAAGGAAGAGATTATAAAGAGGGGTGACCCCCTGAATATCTTTTAATCTAAGCCACACACAAAAATTGTCAACTTTTCCTTATACAAACATTGTAAAAATATTTACTTGAGAAAAACAGCAGTAAAAAGTTGTGGTTTAGGACAAGCACAGAAATGTGTGAGGATGCTCATTCAGTTTAAAGTATATAAGCACAGAGTCCTATCAATGAATGGTGAGAAAAGATGCCAATCTTGGATCTTTTAGGTGATTCACAGAAAGGCAAGGCTAGAAATGGGACATAGACTTTTTTTTAAGTTTATGGAAAATCCTTGCATTTGGGAAGTTTGGCTTGTATGTCAGGTCAGAGATAGGGATGGATTTTGTGCAGTGTCAAGTAACTGTTTTGGTGGAGTTAAATACATGAAGGCTTGATATATGGAGAAATGGCTGTGATTGGGGGTAAGTGTATAGTTTTGAAAGCTGGCATGTCATAGAGGTAAGAAACCTCCTTTTTGCTTTTTTCTGAGGATAGTTTGTGCTTTTGGTTATAGAGTAGCTTGGTAGGAAAAGAGGTTAGAGTTTACTGTAAGAAGATTGTTGCAGTAGTTGGATGACAAGATTCTTGGACATTGGATGTAACTAGAAATGAAGCAGAAGGAGCAAGATTCCAAATTCTAGAATCTAAAATCGTGACACATGAAAATTCAGGGAAGAAGGGAAAGTTAATTAAGCATACTGCTAAGGTTGCAGTTTAATTCGATAAAAAAATTGAGCACTAGGTATGCGTAAGATATTATATTAGGTGTTTTGGGAATATAAATGAATATGGCTCAGCCCTTACCCTCTAGAAACTTACAGTTTAATTGGAAGAAAATGACAGACTCAAGTAACTATTATGAAAGATAGATTATATTGTATAAACTAGAGTGACCATTTTTAAAACAAAAATAAGATTTAAAAAATTTATTTTTTAAATTGAGGTAACATTGGCTCACATGAAAAACAAAAATCAGATTATGTTCTGCATAATATTCCTCTTCTGCTCTTTCCAACCCATTCAGAGTTCTTTCCTTTATTTGAGGTATAAAAAAGAAACCATAAAATTCATTCTTCTAAAGTGCATATAATTTCATTTTCTTCAGTATATTGACAAGGATATGCAACTGTCATTACTGTCTAATTCTGGAACATTTCATCACCCCAGAAAAAAACCTTATACCCACTAGCAGTCACTATCTGCTCTCCTCTTTCCCCTTCCCTTAGCAACCACTAGTTTATTTCCAGTCTGGATTTGGCTATTGTGGGTATTTCATGTAAATGGAGTGATATAATATTTTGCCTTTGGTGTTAGATTTCTTTCACTTAGCCTATTTCCAAGGCTCATTCATGTTATAGAAAGTCCTCAGTACTTCATTAATTTCCATGCAATATCCTTACAGTATCCTACTCATATGGGATCACCACCTCATCTACTATTACTTTCTTCCTTGCTCATTTTATTTCACCCTTACTGATATGCTTGAGGTTCCTCAAACATGTCACGCATACTTCTGCCTCAGAATTTTTACTGTTTACTTTGAATGTTAAAATACTCTTACCCCAGATAGTCCCAAGACTTATTTTCTAACCTCTTCCCCATTTCTTTGTTAATGTGTGAGATTCTCAGTAAGGTCTTCCTTGACAATTCCATTCAAAAGTACCCCTTCCAATTTTATCCCCAGGACTCACTCTCTTCTTTACCTGCCTTATTTTTCTCCTGAGCATAAATTAGACTTAATGTGATTCAAACTATGTTTTAAAAATGGGTACTTTGGCTTCATGTTTTTGAGTTGAGTAGATGTAAAGGGCATGGGGGAATTCAGATGAGAGAAGTTAAGAGTTGTGATTGGGATAGTCGTAATCAAAATGGAAAAAATAGTATTCATCCAGTGTTATTAATCTTTTGCTATATTCCAGATGTGGTGCTAGCATAAAAATATAAGTATAAATAAGACATGATCCCTGTCTGAAAATAGCTTACCACAGTATAATATAGTGGGAGATCACATGGAGAGCTTTCTCAGATTTCACAAACTTGTATCCCCTGCTGTTAAGTTTTTTTAGAATCTCAGTGAAGGTGTACCAGACATGTTATTTGGAAGAACTATTTCTTTTTTCTTTTTTTTTAAAGATTTATTTATTCATGCATATAAGAACTGAGGTACAGGCCAGATGCACGGGAAGGGGAGAGGATTCACCAGAGACAGAGCCGGGAACAGAATAGGCAGACAGACTGAAATACACTGCTGAGGGGAGCAGTGGGCGAGACAGGAGAGGTCTGCTGCACCATGTGGGATTCTCGCCAGCTGGCTGGGATCGAACCCGTGCTGCAGAGGGTGTGGACAGCTTCATAGCTCTGTGCTCAACCGCCTGTGCCACCAGGGGAGGCCCTGGAAGAACACTCTTCATCGATGAAAATATTCTGTGTCTGGTGACTATTGAGTACTTGAAATATGAATAGTACAACTGAGAAGACAAATTTAAAATTTTCTTTAATATTTATTAAATAGCTGCATATGGGTAATGGCTACTATATTGGACAGCATGTCTCTACTGACTGAGGCAGCTGTACATTAAAACAGCACAATGTGATATATGTCTGATAATAGAACCACATAGTATGGAACACAGGATTATCTACCTTACCTGTACTGGTGATGTTATAACTCATGTGTGAATAGGTATTGAGATTTAGAAATAAATTGGTGAATGATGAAGAAAGAGAAGTCAAAGATAATTTAAAAAATTTAATAACAATATCAGGGGCTTGTATAATGGTGTTATTGACTTGGGGGAAGAAGTCAAAATTGTGTGTTTCTTGGCCTTTTTTCTTTGTATTCTAGGTTGCTGTTTGTAACCTGGCTTCCCTGGCCCTGAATATGTATGTCACGTCAGAACACACATACGACTTTAAGAAATTGGCTGAAGTCACCAAAGTCATTGTCCGAAACTTAAATAAAATTATTGATATTAATTATTACCCTGTCCCAGAGGTATGAATAGATTTCTCTGCTTATTGGTAATTATTGAAATCCAAGGTAGAGGGAGTTTATCATGGCCAGCTGATCATCATTTATATGGTTATCTTTGGAATGGTGTGAAGAAACTGAGTATATGTGTCACTTGGTGAAGAATGTTAACTTTCGCTGTTCAGTAATGTCTCTTCATTAAATCTGTTGGCTTAAAGGCACACTTATCAAATATACGCCATCGCCCCATTGGAATTGGAGTACAAGGTCTGGCAGATGCTTTTATTCTGATGAGGTATCCTTTTGAGAGTCCAGAGGCCCAGTTATTGAATAAGCAAATCTTTGAGACCATTTATTATGGAGCCTTGGAAGCCAGCTGTGACCTTGCCAAGGAGCATGGCCCATATGAGACCTATGAGGGCTCTCCAGTCAGCAAAGGAGTAAGTATGTTAATGAAATTTCTTTTTGCCTATGAGTTCCTAGAGTAAAATGAGTGATAGCCTCAAAAAACTATGTTCACATTTGAATCCCTGGAGCAAGTGAATGTTACCTTATTTGACTTATAAAGGGACTTTGTAGATGCAATTCAGAATTTTGAGATGAGATTCCCCTGAACTGTCTAGCTGTTCCTTAAATCCAATGACAGTTGTCCTTACATGAGACACAAAAAAGACACAAAGCCCTTGATGCTGGGAGAAGCAAAGAACAGAATCTCCTCTAGAGCCTTTGGAGGAAGTATGGTCTTCCCAAAATATTGACTTGTGACTTCTGGTCTCCAGAAGTATGAGAGAATATTTTTTTGTTATTTTATTGATAAGTTACCACGTTTGTAGTACTTTGTTACACCAGTTATAGGTACCAAATACAGTACTTTTGTCTTCTGTAACAAAAAGGATACTCTATATTAATCTCTCTTATTTAGAAATATCATTGTTAAAGTGACTTAAAACTGCTATTAGTTTTCAGTTGCTAAACTTAATGAATTAAAACAACATACATCCATTATCTCAGTTTCCATGGGTCAGGGGTCCAGGCTCAGCTAAGCTGGGTCCTTTTCTCTGGGTCTAACGAGGCCACTGTCACAGTGTCGGTGGAGGCTATGGTCTCATCTGAAGTTCAGGATCCTCTTCCAATTCTCCTGGTTGTTGACAGAATTCATTTCGTTGAAGCACCAGAACTCAATATATTCAAAGCCAATAGAAGGAGGAGAAAGACTCATTGTAGATGCTGTTTTAAGAGCTTTTGTCTGTTAAGTTAGGTTCACCCAGGATAACCCCCCTTTTGCTTAACTTAAATTGATTTGCAGCCTAATAAGAACCGGAGAAATCACCTTTACCCTCGAGAGTGACATCCATCATATTCCCTGGTCCCATCTTATGTAAGAGGAGATTATACATGGCCAGTGAACTCAGGGGTGAGAATCTGGGGAGCTGTCTCAGAATTCTGACTTCCACAATACCTTTATTATCAGTAGCATGATTCTCTTCCATGTAAAATAAGATGTTACTTTAGTTTTGCTGATATTTAGCAATGTATGGTTGTTCGAAAATAGGTATTTTGTGAGTTGATAGGTCAATGACCAGATCAAGACAAGAAAGATGAGGTCAACATAATACTTTCATTATTAAAAAAAGAAAATACATCTCAGCAACACACTTTCTTGAGTATTAGAATTTCCGGTTTATAGAAATGAGTCCTGAGAGGGTAGCATGTGGAAAAGAGCTAAGCCCTTAGCCAGTTTTCTTAGCTTGCTTATGATTAGTTATCACAAAATAGAAGATTATCCAGGAAAATCTCTGGATTTTGTATTTCTTACATGCTTCTGCTAGAAGACCTCATTTGTTATTGTTGTGACATGGGGGCATTGTAGTTAGTCATTTGTTTGATTTTGGTCATAGTTTGTTGTGATTTGTCATAAATTTGGGTCGTTCATTTTTTAGATCCTTCAGTATGATATGTGGAATGTTACTCCCACAGACCTATGGGACTGGAAAATTCTTAAGGAGAAGATTGCAAAGTAAGTAAGCTTTGTAATAAGGAGGTTTCAGGTTTTTATCCTGGTTCTTCAGAAGTTAGGCATGTTATTTTAACTTCCAAAACTCATTTTTTCTCTTAAAAGGGGCTAAACTGGCCTATCAACAAAATTATTTTTATAAAAATACTCCACAAGATAATATATGCATTGTGGTAATCTGCAAATTGGTACAATTAAAACATTTCAGTGCATAGTAGGTATCGTTAGTTGATCTTTTAGGAACTTAACCCAGGTGGGGTAATTTTTTTTTTTTTTTTGATTTATCATATTTGTAAGTGTGCTTGCTTTATTTTTCACTTTTATTACTGTAGGGTAAGTAAATGATATCAGGCTTTTGTACCCTCCCGCCATTAGGATTGATGGTGGATCCTAGCCGTCCTGAATGCATGCCTGATGGCGGGCACCTGGAATAGGGTGTGGGCATATGTGATGGTATTCACCTGGGCTGAGAGACTGGGTTTATAAGAGTGGCACACCAGAGTGTGGTGTGGTCATGCGTTGTGGAGGATGGAGGAGTGCAGTGGAGCATACAGAGGATGTGGCTGAGAGTGACAGAGCACGATGGAGTATGATGGACTACCAGTGGCAGAACCAAGAGAAGCAGGAGCAGAGAGTAACACGAGAACGAGAGAAGAACGAATGGAAGAAGCAGAATGAATGGAAGCAAGAGAAGCAGAGAGAACGCGAGATCCCAGGAAGAGTGAAGACTTGCTGGGGGCTGGGAGGCCTGCTGTGGAGGCCTACCAGCCTCCCGGCCCCCCAGCATCCCTGCCTGCTGTGTACCTGGTAAATCCCAATAAAAGCCTGCAAAAGCCATTGAGGGCTCCAGGACTCTCTCCTCCTTACCCTCTCCTCCTTACCCTGCTCGGGTCATAGAGATCCTGCCCTGTGCCCTCCCTGCCCTTACAATTGGCGTAGTCGGCAGGATGATCCATGCAGATGGGTATGGAGCCCTCTGAAGATCTCAGGAGGGACTGAGGTGTAGCAGACCGAGAGCCTGTGAAAATGCTGGAGGCGTCACGGCAGAACAGGAGATGGACAAGGTCCGGGAGCTGCAAGACAAAACCTCGCCTGGAGGAGGAGATGGCCTGCGAGGACCAGCCAGTGACCCCAGAGGCAGCAGAATCATCGGGGAAGAAAGGACCACGATTCGGAGCTCTCCAGTGCTGATGTCGGGGGAGGCTAATGGACTTGGACTAATGGAGTTGGACTGACAATCCCACCAGAAGGCAAAGGAAACTTGGCAGGTTGTTATGTTTTGGGGACTCTGGGGATGGGTGGTGTAGGGGAAGGTATAAGTATCATGCTTTTCTGCCCTCCTGCCATTAGGATAGATGAGGGAACCCTGTGGTCCTGAATGCATGCCTGATGGTGGGCACCTGAAGTGGATACACCTGGGCTGAGAGACTGAGTTTATAAGGGTGGTGTCGTGGCGACGCCAGCAGAAGCCAAGAAGGAACGGAAACTGAGAGAAGAAGAGAAGCAGAGAGAACACCAGAGAGCCCAGATAGAGTGAGGATTTGCTGGGGGCTGGGAGGACTACCAGCCTCCTGGCCCCACAGCACCCCTGCCTGCCATATGCCTGGTAAATCTAAATAAAAGACCTGCAAAAGCCACTGAGGACTCTGACTCCTCCTTTACCCGGTCTGCTGGATCAGAAAACCTGCATTGTGGTCTTCCTGCCCCTACAGATGGTATGATTTGTACACCCCAGGAGATGGGAATCTGGGGGTGTCCAGTGGGCCTCAGTGGCCAAAAGCAACCTGTGTACTGCCCAGCAGCTAGGGAGAGGAGAAAAGCCAACTGAGAAGGCAAAAGCTGGTGCTAAGATTGAGAAGCCCTGAGTGGCTGTTAAGTACTAAGTATGCTAAAGAAGGCCAGTGAGTCTCTTAAAATCACCAGCTGGGTGATGCCCTGCTCATTGTCGAGTAAGGGTGAGGAGCTGAGGAACCTATCCTTGGGGGACAGGTGGGAAATGTGGCTGGTGGTGGAGCCTACAGCCAAAGAGGGGACCCAAGAGAGGCCACATGTGGAGCTCATACCATGGATCCCCGACCCATGTGCTTATGCAGTGGGTTGGCCTGAGTGCAGGGGTCTGCATCTCGCATTGGTGACTATGAAAGCCGAGTGTTGGAGCAACTGCAGACAGAAACCCTGAGGATTGGCGATTACCCCCAATAGTATAGAATCGCCAATCCAAGAGTGAGTGCATCCTGGGGGTGGATGCGGTGTGTGGCTTGTGGCCGAGACCACAGCCAGAGGAAGGTCAGGAAGCCTTATGGCTCCTGGCATGTGACGGCAGATACTTGAGTAGTTCCCCTCCCTTTGAGTGGTGCCTTCGGCAGCAGAAGTGGTGGATCATCTGCTGGTGCCAATAATCTTGTCTTTTGCCACTAGGTTGGTGCCCTGCCTGGACTTATTTGTGTTCTGTTGTATTTTGTTATATTGTGATGTATCTCTTTTTTTTTTTAAAGATTTTTTTATTTATTTATACAAGCACTGGGTACAGTCAGAAGCATGAGAGGGTGAGAGAATTCACCAGAGCCAGAGCAGGGAGCAGAACAGGCAGAATGATGAAGTACACTGCTGAGTGGAGCAGCAGGCGCGGCAGGAGAGGTCTGTGCGCCATGTGGGACCCTCGCTGGTAGCCGGGGATCGAACCAGCGCTGCAGAGGCTGTGGGCAGCTTCGTAGCCCAGCGCTCAACCACTGTGCCACCGGGGAGGCCCTATATTGTGATGTATTTCATTTGCTTTTGTGGGCCATGGGTGCAGTGTTCATATTGCCAGTCATATATCCAAGTATATGACTTGGATATAGACTGATATGGACTGTATGGATGAAAACCCTGAGGGGGGTGGATTGTAGGGTAAGTAAATGATACCAGGCTTTTCTGCCCTCTCACCATTAGGATTGATGGTGGATCCTTGTGGTCCTGAATGCATGCCTGATGGCGGGCACCTGGAACAGGGTATGGGCATATGTGATGGGATTCACCTGGGCTGAGAGACTGGGTTTATAAGAGTGGCACACCAGAGTGTGGTGTGGTCATGCGTTGTGGAGGATGGAAGAGTGCAATGGAGTGTACAGAGGAGTGTGGCTAAGAGTGACAGAGCGCGATGGAGTATGCAGACTACCAGCGGCAGAACCAAGAGAAGCAGAGAAGCAGGAGCAGAGAGTACCACGAGAACGAGAGAAGAACGAATGGAAGAAGCAGAATGAACGGAAGTGAGAGAAGCAGAGAGAACGCGAGAGCCCAGGAAGAGTGAAGACTTGCTGGGGGCTGGGAGGCCTACCAGCCTCCCGGCCCCCCAGCACCCCTGCCTGCTGTGTACCTGGTAAATCCCAATAAAAGCCTGCAAAAGCCACTGAGGGCTCCAGGACTCTCTCTTCCTTACCCCGTCTGCTCGGGTCATAGAGATCCTGCCCTGTGTCCTTCCTGCCATTACAATTACTTAATGCACATTGGGCACAGAAATGCTTTTGTTGACTTGATTGTCATAGCAATAAATTAGGGATTTTGGAAGAACTTTTGGAGGGGTAATGTAAAAATTGAGTCTTTGCAGGCCTCCCAAAATATAAGAGATTTGAGGACCGGCAGAGTGTTTTGCTGAATGAATACTGAAGCAGGCTGTTTTCATTTTCTCTCATGATGACTATCATTTCTGGGTTAATACATATGGGACGTGTTTAATGTTTGCAGAAGGAAGCAGTAGCTTTAAAATGCTCTTAGAAATTTATCTTTGCCTTAAAATTGTTTAATCAAATAATGTGTGTTAGAAAGTTTAGAAAACATATGTGTGGAAAGGGGATAAAATAAAATTATCCCAAAATATACTACCCATATCGCGGAGTTGCAACCCTGTTGGAGTTAAATTCAAAAGTCAACAAATGAATCAAATGCATGTATAATGGTACCCCCTAGCAGCTTCATTTACTACAGTGACTTAAGATAGCTGATTTCCTAGCAGACTGTAGCTTTAGGGCTGGCATTTAATATTCTCCTTTTTTTTTAGATATGGTGTAAGAAACAGTTTACTTATTGCCCCAATGCCTACTGCTTCCACTGCTCAGATCCTGGGAAATAATGAGTCCATTGAACCTTATACCAGCAACATCTATACTCGCAGGGTTTTGTCAGGAGAATTTCAGGTGAGAAGATCACAACTACAGACCTACAGGGCGATCTTTCAAAAGGCCTGATGTTGGGAATAAATGCTAACTCATGTTTAGAATACCCCTTTTACTCAGTAGGGGGGCAAAATTTTGTCTCTAATGTTTTATGTTTTTTTAGCACAAGTAGACATTCAATAAATATCTGCCAGAAGAGTGAATGATTGATGGTTGAATATGGAAGTAACTTGTTGATATTAGAGTTCACATGTTATTTCACCATTCTGTAATCATCATGATAGAGTCTATAACCCTGGATGCCTAAATTGATGATACTCAAGATGTATATAGGAGCATCATTTAAAACAGTGGTTCTCAATGAGAATTTGTGGGGGGTAAGACCAGTATTTTTTTTTTTTTTTGTGGGACCCTCGCCGGCAGCTGGGGAACGAACTGGCGCTGCAGAGGCTGCCGGCAGCCTCCCAGCCCAGTGCTCAACCGCTGCGCCACCAGGGGAGGCCCATGGACCAGTATTTTTTAAAGGTTCTCAGATAATTCAATGTGCAACTAGAGTTGAGAACCACTAATTTAAAAGATTTTTATTTTTTTATTTGTGAATTTCCAGTTATTATGAAATAATAAGTTTCCCCAAGTTTCGGGGTAGATATACTTCTTATTTTTCTTATGTTTATTATATGTTGACTTTGGGAAAAAAATAAGAATCCACTTTTTTTTTAACCCACTTTGGGGAATGTTAGTTCTTTTCACTTTTGCAGATGCCACATAATATGGTTCTTGAATACTAGATACCAAGATTTTAAAGGACTATAGCTTTTGTGTGGTGGGATAGACCTGTCAATATTATAAAAAATAGAATTTACCAAGCAATGTTAAATAAATGTTTAGTATTTTGCTTTAAGCTCCAAACATATGATTCTGTTTAGTTCCTATCATTGTTACCTCTTGGTCTTTTCTGTTTTTCTATTCAGATTGTAAATCCTCACTTACTGAAAGATCTTACTGAGCGGGGCTTATGGAATGAAGAGATGAAAAACCAGATTATTGCATGCAATGGGTCTATCCAGGTAAAGAATGAAATATCTCTTCAGGAGCTAAGTTGGAAATTGTGGTACCTTTCACTTTTCCCACCAATAGAAAAAATGGCCATTCTCTGTGATTGAATAGGCTCTGTTCACCTCTGCGTTGTTTTGCTGGGATTATATACATCTTCACATAACCAGGCCTTTCCCTCTTAATTGTGCAATAATATAAAGCAGTAGTTTCCAACTTCTTTGCTTATTAGAATCAATTGGGGAGCACTTAAAATTCTGAAATTTGCATTGTACCTATACCGATTACATCAAAATGTCTGGTATTGGGAGCCAGGTATCTATTTTTTTTAAAGACTCCTTACATCATTCCAAAATGCACAAAGTTTGGGAACTACTGATATGTCTGAGATTAGAGAGTCAAACTTAATTAAAAAGTATGGTAGAGTTGAGGATTGATAGCCCAAAAGACAGAATGACAGATAGTGTTTAACAATTTGCAACTGAACATCAAGAATTTATAAATAGAGGCGTCTTTTTTTTTTAAAAAGATTTATTTATACAAACACTGGGTACAGTCAGAAGTGCAGGAGGGTGAGAGAATTCACCAGAGCCAGAGCAGGGAACAGAACAGGCAGACAGATGAAATACACTGCTGAGGGGAGCAGCGGGCACGGCAGGAGAGGTCTGTCGCGCCACGTGGGACCCTTGCTGGTGGCTGGGGATTGAACTGGTGCTGCAGAGGCTGCGGGCAGCTTCGCAGCCCAGCGCTCAACCACTGCGCCACCAGGGGAGGCCCCTATAAATAGTGGCTTCTTGCTGGGATTGATTGACTTGGTAACACAGATGAAGTTTCCTTTAGTATTTTTGTGTATGCTGACAGAAACTGTAGCATTAGCCAGCCTGCATGTTTTGATGCATGTTAACCCTAGACCTGAGAAAACTTAATTTTTAATGACTCCAAGTGGAGTTTGTGGAATCCTAGTTTATAAAAGAGTTTATCATTACTTCCCTTGATCATATCCCTGTGAGTTATAGCCCTAGTGATTTGTATTGCTACTTAGCTGTGAGTTTTCCTTTATTAAGTGCCTCTAGAACAATGAATGTTTTGGCCATAAACCAATTACAGATGAATCTTAGTAACTACCACCTGATATTTTGTTGGTTAGATAGAGTTTTATTGTACTTCCTAAGCTGGAGGGGAGCATTTTGAGAAACTTGATAAGGATCAAGTTGTATGATAATGGTTGGGTCAGATCTGACAGAAAATAGAACCAAGGCTAGAGCCTGTTAATTATATTGCTTTCTTCTACTGAGTACATTAAACATTTGGTTTACCTTCTCCAGAGCATACCAGAAATTCCTGATGACCTGAAGCAACTTTATAAGACTGTGTGGGAAATCTCTCAGAAAACTGTCCTCAAGATGGCAGCTGAGAGAGGTGCTTTCATTGACCAGAGCCAGTCTTTGAACATCCATATTGCTGAGCCTAACTATGGCAAACTCACTAGCATGCACTTTTATGGCTGGAAGCAGGTTGGTAGGGGAAATCAAGGAGGACTTATTGTCAACTGGGATATTTTGGAATTGGGGCAATTCCATAGTCTGCTATCTATTAAATATTGTCACCTAGAAGTTCTTTCACTGCCTATCCAATATGTTACAGTGAACTCATGGTTTTTGTACCAGATCATTCTCTCACTTTGGATTTTCTTGTTTCTGTTAGGATTATTACATTTGTAAGTTGGAAACCAATTATCTTTCTTTTCCTCTCCATGCAATCACTCATCACATTGTGTTGGTTGTTCCTTCTTACTCCACCATCATTTTAAATTTTTATTTGTTTATTTATTTTTAAAGATTTATTTATTTTTGCAATCAAGAACTGGGGTACGGGCCAGACGTGTGGGGGTGAGAGGATTCACCAGAGACAGAGTGGGGAACAGAACAGGCAGACTGAATGAAATACACCACTGAGGGGAGCAGTAGGTGAGTCAGGAAAGGTCTGCTGCACCATGTGGGTAGCTCCCTGGCCGGGGATTGAACTCGTGCTGCAGTGGCTGCGGATAGCTTCATAGGTTGCGTCTTAACCCCTTGCACCACCAGGGAGGCCCCATTATTTTTATCAGCTTCTTCATGAACTCTTTGTATGTCTGTATATATATTTGTATATCTTTGTATACAAAGCAATGCAGTCTTATGCATTGCTATCATTTCTAAAATAAAACTGCACTTATAAACCCATTATTCAAAATCACCCATTGTTTTGCCACTTCAATTATCTACAAAATAAAGCCAATTACTTAGCTAGTCTTTGCTGACTGTAATGTCCTGTCTTCTGGATTGTATTCTTATTCCCTGCTATTGTACTGGGTGTTCATATAGAATAAGAAACTTATTTTCTTATTTAATAAACATTAAATTGATCATCTCTGTGTCAAGACTGGGAATACTGAATGAGATGATCTTTGAAGTAGTTGTAATCTACTGCTATACAGGGACCTAATTTACCCCTCTGAATAGTTATAATCAAAAGCATATGTTAACATATAACCAGTGTTGTCTTAGGCAAACTTGGAAATTATGTATACAAAAACAAAAAAGAGAACAAAAAGAGCTGACATTTCCAAAGAGGTAAACCTGTTATAGGGGTGAAAAGTATAGGATATAGCTGTCTTTTTTGAGAAGGCTTCCTAGAGTAAATAGACTTTCAAGTTTATAAAATGATTTGATCTGGTTTATGGAAATGTGTTTTAAACGTTGGTCATAAATATTTACTATTTTATTTTTGTCGTTTCTTATTTTTATAATTGTCTAGTATCCTTAGAATTTCTTCTGATAGTATTTTTTCCCTTGTAGGGTTTGAAGACTGGGATGTATTACTTAAGGACAAGACCAGCAGCTAATCCAATCCAGTTCACTCTAAATAAGGAGAAGCTGAAAGATAAGGAAAAGACATCCAGAGAGGAGGAAGAGAAGGAGCGGAACACAGCAGCCATGGTGTGCTCTTTAGAGAATAGAGATGAGTGTCTGATGTGTGGATCCTGAGAAAACACTTAGGAGAGGCCAGCACTTCTTTGATAGCCAGCTACTCTCTGAGATTGCATAGATGGAGCAGGCTTGCATGAAGTGTTAGAACTTTTGCATATGGTGCGAAAGTAGGGATTTTTTAAAAATTAGTATAAACCACAGACATCATACAGGGGAGGAGGAAGGAGAGGGGTCAGAGGGAGGGAGGGAGGAGCACAGGGGACTGAGGTGATGGTGCACAGGTGCATTGGGGAAGGAAATTCTGTGGGGACTACACCTGAGAGGGGGAAAGCAAACATTGTTTAAAAATGTACAATGATGTAAAAAATACATAAATGAAAATTAAAAAAATAAACTTCATTTTATCTAAAAAAAGGTAAATTTTTGAAATTTATATGGGGTTTCATTACTATATAATGAGTAATTGTATTGGATTTCATTACTCCATTACACCCCTTTTCTCATGACCTCAGTTTTGGTAAGTAGACTTAGTTTTGCTGCTTTAACTATTAGATCCATAGAAACAAAACTAAGTCATAATTCGTGAGAAGTGCTGATGGGGCCTTTATTGTATAAGGTCCTGTAGGTCATTCTGAAATAAAGATAAATATTTCTAAGTGATTGTGTGAGATTAATTTTGTCATTTACTTTTACACAGAGGTCACATTTGAAGAGTCACGTTTCCCTGATTTTCTGTACTTATTTGTTTGTTTGCTTTTACTTCTTTAAACATATTTGAAACTTTTTTTTTTAATATATTTTTTTTTTTACATCATTCTTCATTTTATACAATGTATGCTTTCTCATCTTGGGTATAGTCCCCATGAAATTCCCACCACCAATTCACCAATTCACCCATGCACCATCACCATAGTCCCTTGTGTTCTTCCACCCCTGTTTTGATCCTAATCCCTCCTCCCCTGCTGCAGAATGTCTGGTTTTTAGTTGCCTGTTGACTTTGGTTTTTACTTTATGATAATTACTTTCCCCCTGCCCCCATCCCTTATTTGGATTCCCTACATTCCTCCTATAAGTGAAACCATCCGGTATTTGTCTTTTTCTTTTTCTCATTTTACTGAACATGATCACTTTCAGCTCCATCCATGTTTCTGCAAGTAGGGGTTATGAAATAAGAACCCCATCTAAGTGCCTGAATGCCATACAGGAATATAGTTTATTAGTCTGCAAGACAACCATCTACCCTGGGATCACTAAGGTCACCTAGGCCTATGATAGGAACCATCCTACTTATACCTCCCCACTGAGCTCCCTTTGTTGCCCACAAACTGACAGGTCTTTTCTCCCCTCCCTTCAGGTTCACCTCCATTTCTCTGAGCTATGTGGGATCTTTAAATAATACACATGCCCCCAAGGTAAAGGGAAGGAATTAACACTGGGAAATGGGTGCATGCATCAGTCCCCTGCTGGTGCTTCATATGCCCACCACTTGGATTCAAGTCTTGTTAGCTGTTTGACAATTGGTCACTTTAGTTAATCAAGCCCATAGCCAATATTATTCTCATTGGTGAAAAGCTGAAGGCATTTCCATTAAGATCTGGAACAAGACAAGAAGTCCACTGTCACCACTGCTTTCAATATAATACTGGAAGTCCTAGCCAGAGCAGTAAGACAAGAGAAAGACATACAAGATGTATGGAAGGAAATGGAAGAATAAATACCTCACCCTCTAACCCTGCCAAGTTTAAATTACAATATGGGGCTTAGCCTTGTAGGAATTTCAGTTTGCCCTTGAAAGATATCTTCAGGGCCTCCCTGGTGGCTCAAGGGGTGAAGACGCAACCGATGAAGCTGTCTGCAGCCACTGCAGCACAAGTTCAATCCCCGGCCAGGGACCTACCCACATGGCACAGCAGACCTCTCCAGTCTTGCCCGCTGCTCCCCTCAGCAGTGTATTTCATTCAGTCTGCCTGTTCTGTTCCCCACTCTGTCTCTGGTGAATCCTCTCACCCCCCGCGCCTCTGTCCTGTACCCCAGCTCTTGTATGCATAAATAAATAAATCTTTAAAAAAAAAAGCATTCAGTATGTGTGTCCAACTTTTTTCACTTAGTATAGTGTTTTCAAGGTTCATCCATGTAGCATGCATATATCAGAACTTACTTTTTAGAGCTGATATTCCAGTATATGTATACATCACATTTTGTTCATCTACTCTTGTGTTAATGGAAATTTGAATTATTTCCACCTTAAGGATACTGTGAATGATGCTGTTATAAATGTTGATGCACAAGAATCTGAATTCCTGCTTTTAATTCTTTTGGATATAAGGAAGTGGAATTGTTGGTTATATTATAACTTTAACTTTTTGAGGAACTGCCCAACCATTTTACATTTCTACCAACAGTATATGAAAGTTCCAGTTATTCCATATCCTTGTCAGCCCTTGTTAATATTTTCTTTATGGTTTAGCAATCTGACTATGTCTTGGTGTGGGTGTCTGAGTTTATATTACCTGGGGTTCATTAAACTACTTAGTTTGGTAGAGTCACATTTTTCATTAAATTTGGGAAGTTTTCAGCCATTAGTTGTTCAGGTAATCTGTTTGACCCTTTTCCCCTTTTTCCTCTTGGGAGTCTCATAATGCATCTGTCAGTTTACTTGATAGTGTTCCACAAGTCCCTTAGACTCTGTTCACTGTCCTTCCTTATTTTTCTGTTCCTTAGACTTGTTAATTTCAACAGTCCTAACCTCAAGTTCATTGGTTCATTTTCCTGCTCAAATCTATTGTGCTCCTTTAGAAGAGTTCCTATTTCTCCACATCCTTGCCAACGTTTGTTGTTGCTAGTTTTTTAACTATGTGCCATTCTCACTGGTGTAAGATGGTAAGACAGTTATTTTAATGTCCTCTCCCAGTGGCTTTGATGGCTGGGCTTCCTCAGTTTATCATGTTTCTGTTATTTTATCTTGTTCCTTTGAATGGATTATGTTTTCCTATTTCTTTGATTGAGTGTGTTTTTTTTTTCTTGAAAATCAGGCATTTAACTGTCGTTTCTTGACAACATTCTCTAGACTTTGCTTTTTAAATGTAGAGGACTCTAGTATTCCATTTGAGACTTTTCCTAACTATTTGTCAGAGGCTATTGTGTTTCAGTCTTGAAGTCGCTAATCCATTATTGTTCGTTCAGTTAATGGCTTGGCAGATTTCCTTGCATTTTAGGAACTCTCATTCTCTATAGTTTGGTTCTATACTTGGCTAGGCTTACTCTGAGGATGATTAGTTTTATGTGTAGTACTTAGCTATTTAGTCAAACACTAGTCTACATATTGCTGTGAAGATTTTATTTTAGATGAGATTAACATTTAAATTTGTAGACTCAGTAAATGAGATTAGCATCAGATTAGCATTCTCTAATCTGGATGCCTTCATCCAATTGATCAAAGACTCCAGACTGAGAGCAAAGACTCCAGACTGTTTTTGGACTTGAGTTGCAGTATCATTTCTCTAGTTCTCCAACCCGCTGGCCTTCTCTGCCAACTTCAGGCTAGCCAGTTCCACAGTTGTGTGAGCCAACTATATAAAAATCAACATGTATCTGTGTCTATATATCTATGTAACTATATTATCTACTTACACATGCACACTCACCTACAAACTTTATTGGTTCTATTTCTCTGGTGGATGACAACCCTGACTAATACAGATTTTGGTACTGAATGTGGTTCTAGAAGAACAGGATCTTAAGAATGTTTTCTGCGTTGGTTCTAGGGTTTTTGGAATTGACTTTTTAATCTGATTAGATTTGACAGTTCTAATGACTATTTCTAAAGAGTGCTGGTAGCCGATGGTGTGATGTGGCAATAGAGACACCATCACAGGATACCCCTTGATAGTTTCCAAGGGATTAGTGAGTTGTCTTCCTGGTCCTTCCCTCTGACAATAGATCCTTATGGAGCCTCACCTGGTTCAACCTGACATCTCTCATCTTTTCTAGTTAGTTTCCTTGCCCATGCTAGTCATGGAGTTCCCAATGTCCTGGGTTGAATTTGTGCCCATGCATAAGTAAAGCTCCTCCAGGTAATTTTACAGTGCCCTGGAATGCTTCATTTTGCTTTGGATAGCTGACCCTCAGCCCATTCTGCTGGCTGGGGTATCTACACTCCCTGTCACACTCCCCTTTGCTTCCTCCTACTCCTTCCCTTCAGCAGCCCCCAACCTTAGTTCACTTCTCCATGGGAAAGTCTTGGGACTCTGTTGGGGAACTTTGGAGTCTTCCTTTGATCAAACATTTTTTTATTGTTTTTAGGGGAGAAGTTAATCTCAACCTCTACTTTCATTTTGTGGGTGGAGTCTCAAGTGCAGCTGGTCTTTGAGTCAGAATGAGTCCCAAGAGAAGAGTTCACCTGGTTCTCTGTCAGCCTGGAAGTCTCTAAGGAGAACCTGACCTGCTTGAATGAGCTAGACTGGACACTGGTAGACCTGACCTATGTGTCTGTATCTGAGTGGGGTTATTAGGCCACCTGTATTCTGGAGTGGACTTTAGAGCCCAACCTGTGGGTTTAGATTAGACTGGAGGCCTTGAGGTTGACCTGATAGTTGATGAGACTGGGCTTCATGTCAAGTCATAGGCTGTATTGGGAGAGATTAGCCTCTGTGAAGGGGCTTATCAGTTTCTTTCAGACTAGGTTCAAGGTAGTTGTGTTTGTCTGACTTGCTCTATACATCTTTCAGTGGAGCAGCACCATATTTCCAGATATTAATTGGGACTTTCTCAACCAGTGAGAAAAGGACAGAAATTACACTAAGAAGGAAAAATAGATAAAGCAATTTCATTGTTGTAATGAAAACAGCATTCTAAGAATTAAAAAAGCAGTCGTTGACCAACACTGAGCTCATAATCACAGGATAGTCCATTCTGTCCCTCAGTATTGCCTACTTATCTCCTATTCCCAGAGGTCATATCACTGAACTTCCTGAGTTTATCCGGGGTCTGCAGAATGGATATTCTGTTAGCTGGCATGAAAGCAACTTCAATCTTGTACCGCTCCATCAGAGCTTTCGTATTGCCAGATGATTTTCTTCCCCCTGAATAGTATGTCTCAACAGTGGGCTTAACATATTCAGTAAACCATGTTGAGAGTATGTACTGTCATCCAGACTTTGTTTCTCACTTACAGAGCACGGGGAGAGTTGATTAAACATAATTTTTACGTGTCCGAGGATTTTTGGAATGGTAAATGAACATTGACTTTAACTTAGTCACCGTCTGCATTAGGCCCTAACAAGAGTTGGTAAATCCTTAGAAGTTTTCAAGCCAGGTATTGACTTCTTCTTTCTAGCTATGAGAGCACAGAATGACCTCTTCTAATTTAGGACTATTTCACTTACATTGAAAATTTGTTGTTTAATGTAGCTGCCTTCCTTCATCTGTTATCTTTTTTTTTTTTTTTTAAAGATTTATTTATTCATGCATACAAGAACCGGGATACAGGCCAGAGGTGCGGGGGGTGAGAGGATTCACCAGAGACAGAGCGGGGAGCAGAACAGGCAGACTGAGTGAAATAGACTGCTGAGGGGAGCAGCGGGCGAGACTGGAGAGGTCTGCCACGCCATGTGGGTATCTCCCTGGCCAGCCAGGATTGAACCCACACTGCAGAGGCTGCAGACAGCTTCACAGCTTTGCACTCAACTGCCTGTACCACCAGGGAGGTCCTCATCTGTTATCTTAACTAGATTTTCTGGGTAATTTGCTGTAGCTTCTAGACCAGTATTTGCTGCTTTGCCTTGCACTCTGATGTTATGGAGATGCTGTTTCCAAACTTTTCTTCTGCAACTTCCTCACCTCTCTCAACCTTTATAGAATCGAAGGCCTTGCCCTGGATTAGGTTTTGGCTTCAGGTTGTGGCTGGCTTGATCTATCCAGACCACCAAAGTTTTGTCTGAATCAGCACTGAGGCTATTCACTGGAGTATCACTTTAAATTTCCTTCAATAACTTTTCCTTTGCGTTTACAAGTTAGCTAACATGCAAGTGGTCTAACTTTTGGCCTGCCTCACTCAGTTTAATCATTTCTAACTTTTGATTTGAAATGAGAGGTGTGTAACTGTTCCTTTCATTTGAACATGTAAAGGCCATTGTAGGATTATTAACTGGCCTAAATTCAATGTTATTATGCCTCAGGGAAATCATCCGAGGAAAGGGAGCAGCGGAAGGAAAGGCTGGTTGGTCAGTAGAGCAGTGAGTACACACACCCTTATGTATTAAGTTTGCCATCTTCTATGGGCATGGCTTGATCGGTGGATGGAAAGTTACTAAGACGAAACGTCAAGATACAGGGATTTTGGTAAAACTGACATAAATTGGATTCTTTGCTGAAGATAAGCCAGGGTGATCAGATATTACCTAGGGGATGGTGGAGGATGAGGAACTCAACCAGATACAAATAGTGATCATGTATCGAGGGTGGAGAGACTCTGGTTAAACTTATTTAGCAGGTTCTTGCTGAGATTGGATTTTGCAAACAACTGCACAGATGCGCCTAGGAAAAAGTTCAAAGGCATGAGTAGAGCAGAACTTTATAAAGATGCAGCAGTGAGCCATAAAGAGACTGGCTCTACCACCATAGTGGATAGAAACCCTGTCAAAAGTAGATTTGAGTAGAATGATTTGTAATGAATCTTCACAATTGTCAAGAGATTACCTGTTTCTTTTCTTGGCATTACATATTAGCATTGATTCGAGGTGTATGACGGATTGGCTCAGGCACTTCCCTCTCCCAGGTGCTTTCTCTTCCTTAGTGGACTCACCTGGGTCTGTCTTTGAGCCCAGAGACAGAAATGTCAGGCCAAAGTGGATGAGGCACCTGATTGTGAAGGGTCTGCCTTGATTTTCTGGAGCCTAGGGTCTGACTTTGAAAAGTCCTGGGTCTCAGTCCCCTGTTAACAGTTGTGACTGGAGGATTTTAGCCTCTCCAGCCTCCCTCAATTGGTCTTTCTTTTCTCTGGCTGGCCAGGGGGAGGAATAACTCATGTGACCATCTGCCCTGGCCAGGTCCTGAGCCTGGAGTGTTACACGCAGTATCTCACTTAAAACTTACATGTCCTGGC